ATAAGAACAATTCCTTAACTCATGCTTTGTAGGGAAAAAATGGGGGTACTAGAGTCGATCATGAAACACCCAAAGAGTTTAGACAGCTTCACAATAAGAAGGCAAAATGTACTGAATATCCCTGGTTGAACTGTATTACTGTTTACCATTGTTTATATACCTGCACTATCTACTGTAAGTACACTAGTAATAATTGTATCCTACATGGACTATGTACACTGTAAACCAGCATTGTCTATATGTATACTGAACTATAAATCTGGATTGTCTACATACAGTATTTGCCAAACAAATTGTAAATGTGTATGATGATTTTACTGAAGAAACATCTATCTATCTATCTATTTACTTAACATACAAGTTCATGCTAAGCAATGGACAAGTTCACAAACTAATTCCTCTATACCTCTTTATCAGCAAGAAAAAGATATACTGTACATGCTTAAACTTCAAACAATTCAAATTTGACCCTAGAGCTGGGTCAAACATTCTCCCAAGGTCAGGAACCCCCTGATATTGCAAGGTCCCCAAAATCATATCATCATATAAGGCATTCAGTCAAGGAATGATGAATACATACACCAAAAGTGAGGTTTGAGATTAAAGCTGTTAAAGTTTGCGCGCCTGATTTTTGGTGCGTTTCCGTAACCAACAGTACAATTTTGATGAAGCTGGAGTCAAAAGATGGAAAATCTAGTCGAGTTTAAGGATAAAAAAAAATAAACAAATGTAAAGACTTTGTGTTTTTAAGGTATGTAGATATTACACCCACACTCTGGTGCCTGTAATAAATGTCCAATTAGCATAAAAGAAATAAGTAAGCAATAGTAATAATAATAATGATAAACTGTAGTAAGTAATAATAATAATAATAAAACTATAGTAAGTAATAATAATAATAATAATAATAAAGGTTTCTTAATTTTTCTCCTTCCCATCTTTGTAAAGCCACAACATTTACAAGGAGGTCCCGTTTTCCTCTCCTCCACGATTTTTTTGTGGTCACCTTAACACACCCCTCGTGGTCACATTAACACACCCCTCGTGGTCACATTAACACACCCCTCACCCTGGTTTTGGGTTTTTTTAGCTACCTGGTTAAAAAAAAAGGAACAGAAAACTACAGGCCAATCAACCTAACATTACATATACTGTATATGTAAGTGCTTTGGGAAAATTCTGAGGGATGCTATCATCCAAAACCTGACTGAAAAGTCTTATCAACGCTTCACAACACGGTTTCATGGAAAAAAAAATCTTGTCTGACAAAGTTACTCACGTTCCTTGAAGCAGTAACAGAATACAATATGTGGACCAAGGCTTACAAGTGGATGTGTTGTACAATACATGGATTTCTCCGAAGCATTTGACAAAGTCCCACATGCATGACTAGACTTCAAGATCCAGGCACATGGCAAGATTTTGACATGGATTAGTAAATGACTCAAAGAGTGGGAATAAATGGAGTACATTCTGAATGGGAAAGGTTCTCAGTGGAGTACCACAAGGCTATATCCTTCTGGACCCACTTTGTTTACGATCTACATAAATGACATAGATGAAAATATATCGAGCCACGCTGTCAAATTTGAGGATGACCCAAAAATATTTGGGTAGGTAGCAAGTCAAGACGATGTCGCAACAATGCAGGAAGACCTGAATGAGCCGTTCAAATGGTCTCGAGGCTGGCAAATGCTCTTTAACATTACAAAATACAAGATCCTACACACAGGATATAACAACCCTCAGCACAACTATTCTATTAATAACACTTTCCTGGACAATGCTGATAGGGAGAAAGATCTGGCATGGTGATAGATCATTCACTGAAGGCGGTGCAACAAGCGAAAGTGAGGAAAGCAAATTGATATCTGGGAATTATGAAGCGTACCTTTGAATATAAAGATGGGAAAATGCTCCTTCAACTGTACAAACCCAAGTACTGTATATGTCCCAGTCTGGATTACTGTTTACAGGCATGGAAACCCTACCTCCAGAAAGATCTAACATACCTAAAAAGGGTGCAACACAGATCGACGAAGATGATTCTGGAACTATGTCATCTCGATTATCCAAGTAGACTGAGAGCCTTATGACTAAAAACTCTTTAGACAAGGCACAATAGGGCAGATTTCGTTAAACATTAAAAATCCTTAAAGGGAAGGAAAACGTGAACCCGGGACATTTTTTTGTGATTTCACACACCACCAACACGAGAGAACATAACTACAATCTCGCCAAGTTATCGTGCAAAATGAATACAGTATAAGGAAATACTTTTTTAGACATAGGGTGGTAGACCCACGGAACAGTCTGCCAGCCCAAACTGTGGAATCAAGCCCTTGACAAAATTATCAACTACCTGTGCTCAGTCGAGTGTCCATGCCTGGAGCTGGCAGAAGCCCGCCCCACAAGGAATCACAGCTCAAGGTTGAAAAGGCCACAAGTCCAGAAAACTGTGAGAAAATTTTTTTCGGAGTGAGAATTGTGAACTCTTGGAACAACTTGCTAGAGTATTGTGATGGCACCGAGTGGGAGCTCTTTCAAGACCAGATTTGACCAACACTAGAGCAGGTTTAGATACATTCAAGATCCAGTGCATGCCCGGAAATTGCCAAAAGTGCATAACAGAGAAATGACCGACCGCCCAAGAGGCTAATGAGCTGATCAGTGGCAAAGAGAATAAAAGTGAAAGTAAGAACAATGGAGGGTTCCTACACAGGCCACTTGCCTCCTCTCTTCGGCATGGCCACCTCTAGTGGGTGACCATTAGGTAAATAAGGTAAAGGTACTGAATAAGTATTACCAGTGTGATACACGTCAATGAAAAAAAGTGGCGCCGCCAGCGTAAACGGCTGAGAAATTTTATGCCATAGGTGTAAACGATTTCATAAATTGACGCTGTTTTTTAGCGTCAACACCTAGCGTCAACGAGTTTTCAGTGACGTACAAATGCAGCCCCGAAACGCATATTCTCCTGTGGATGGGAGTAACATATGTAAAAGAAAAAAATATTCATTAATTTTTAATCATTTAATATGATTTATATTATACCATTTTAATTATTCATTTGTTCCCCAACAAGAATACTAACATCTCAAAATACTTGTCGCTCATTCTGCTGCGCTTGGGCCACAAGACATCCTTGCCCATGGAGAACATGCGCTCCACAGCAGCACTAGAGGGGATGGGGGTGTTGTATTTGATGAACAACTCCCTCATGGCCTTGCTGGGGAAGGTGTCCTTGTCAAAAGATTTTTCAAAGGTTTCTCCCCCAGGAAACACTTGGCCTTGCTGGGGAAGGTGTCCTTGTCAAAAGTTTTTTTCAAAGGTTTCTCCCCCAGGTAACACTTGAAAGGGTCACTGTCTTTTTCATGCCTGCGGGGGGTCTCGTACAGGGCCTGGAACAATTCATTCTCCATGTCATGGTCTTTGTCGTCTCCCTCACTGTTGCTGCTGCTCTCAGTCTCGTGCACGGACTTCTCCACCAACCTGGACAGCTGGTTGGTGGCCTTTTTCCTGACTTGAAAATTCAAATCTGTAGAAAGCAGCGCAGGTGCACGGGCGGCGGGAGCGGCAAAATTTTTCCCAGTTGTCTTTATAACAAGATAATTGAAAATCGAACTTGGAAAAATAAAAAATTTTAGAAGTTGACGAACAAATTGACGCTTGACGCTCCACTCGGGTGAAAAGTTGACTGCGTCACCTGCCCAAAAAATTGATGGCGTCAGTGTTAACAAAAAGTTGCTGCCATCCATTGACGGCGTTAAATTAATGGCGTCAACGTACAACACTGAGTATTACTATATTATTATTCTCAAAACATTACAAGAGACAATAAGATTGGCATCTTGACGGCATCCCTTCCCGTCTGAGGCTGCTGATTGTCTTTGAGCAAGATGTCATGGTGTCTTGCGCCCCTTATTGGTGCAGGTGTTTGGTGTAACTGGCAGACACCAGTCTGAGCTATGGAGCAACCAGAGCTCCCCACATGATGCCCTTAAGAAAAAAAATTTTACAGTAAAAATCCAAAAATCAGGATGCCAGAAATCCGGACCATCCGAGAATCCAGACTTTTCGAAAACTCAAACTTTTTTTTTTTTTTTTTAGCTGGATTTTGTGTATGTGCGCATGCGTGAGCGCCACAGCTGCACAGCGACAACAAGCGACCACGTGGTCGCCACTTTAAAACGAGCAATCAAACTGTGACAAGGTATGTAATTTTGAGTCCTACTCTTTCCATTTACAGAGCCCATAATAATGGCTCCTAAAGTAGATAAACTTCGTTGAGAAGAGAAAGAAGAACACGTTGAAATTGAGTGACAAACTTTAAATAATTAAAATAGAACGTGGTGTGAGCAATACTGTTCTAATGGAAACACAACATTGGAGAGTCAACACAATTTATGATATAAAAAAGGCAAAGAATAAAATTCTAAAATTCACAGCTTTTTCTTTAAAACTGCTAGTTTTGATAAATGAAGCATGCTAAATTTGCTAATGAATAAACTATCAAAATGTATCTGTTCATCTCTTCTTTATTCATCCTTAAATTTGAATTTTAAAAGTACTGCCTGAGAATCAGGAAAATCCGAAAATCAGGACCGACCCAATCCCCAAGCAGTCCGGATTTTTGGACTTCTACTTTTTAAAAATGGATTTTCACCGCGTAAGTGATGAATAAGCCATCAATTTCACTTCTATGCTATGCCTAGCTTGAAGCAGAACTATAGATTATGTACTGGAAAAACACTGGACAGAACTCGAGACAAATCTTAATTAAGTGAACTGAAATGTATAAGAACTATGACTGTTAAAACATGTAGACAGAAAATAAATTTTTTTGGTAGTTGGTTGATTCATCAATCCTTGACTGAACGTTTCTTATAAAAAATGTGAATCACATCACTGAAATACATAATGTGGAGAATACCTATACAGTAATTATATTTTCATGGATAACTTTGTTGATTGCATGGTGTGATGAAAGGCAACACCTATATCATTCAGAATTTTTTATTTTAGAACTGATAGATCTTGCTATGACTGGAAAGATGGCTACATATGTAGGATTGTCACTATAATGAAGATGCATGATAAAACAGCTGTCATATGAGATGGTGAGATAAATCATGGACCACCCACTCAGCCTCTTGATCATAAAAGCTTGTTTCTGTTATTCTCAAATTTGAAATTAGCTAAAAGACAATGATCACTATTCTATTAATGCATCTCAGTTAGCCTTATGGAGCTTAAATTTGTGCCACACACATCACTGTAGGATGAAATACAAGGGATCTCATATATATAATGAAATTACAAGATATGGTAAATGATACTCATGGAAAATAGTTCATAACATTATCATACATTGCAAGCTGTTAAACAAATTACAGTGTACATAACTGTAATTACAGTACATGACCATAATATACTCTTAATGCATGACACAAGGTAAATAGTATGTAATGAGCAATTCATTGTTAATTATCATTCAGTACTATACTGTACTGTGCTGTGCTGAAGGAGAAAGAGCTAATATGTAAAACCAACAACAGTCCAGGAGGTTCCTTTATTGGTGCTTGAGATCATCAGTAGCATTCACACTAATAAATATTCTCAGAACTACACTAATTTCATGAGTAAAAATTCAGTTATGATACTTTTCTGTGAACTTCTCTGCTTTGGCTTTAAACCCTGCACATCAGTCCTTGGTAACAAGATCCGGCTGTCAATCCTTTACCTGGTAAAAAGCCTCAAGTTCACAGGTAGGCTGTCATCGGGACACTGATCGCTCAATATCTTCATCCATCCAAACTTCACACAAGCTTCTAAAATCTTGAACAAAGTTGTATTGCTGAAATATAGCATAATTCATATACGTACATTTAAATGCTTCCCGATTACTTTCATAAACAAAAGAAATCCACAAATCATTTTTACATTATGATTTCTTGAAAGATGGAATTCTCTTCCCAACAATGATTTGTCTGTTTCTGTTTACATCACACTTCAAACTACACTAACATATACAGTACAGTACGTATTCCTAAAATCATCAGAATTTTTTTCCCTTTAAATAATGTTGAAATAATAAATTGTTACACACTGTATATCATGCCAATGCCATTTTTTTTTTTTTTTACAAATAATGTTTGTCTGGAACCAAAAAATTCATAATACAGGTAGCAGATTTTTTTATTTTTTCTGTGTGGTGATATTGTTAGGAGATTTCTCATTATATACTGTACAGTAGAACGTTGATATAATGCAAGATACACCAAGAGAGGGCGCTTTAAACCGAGCTCACACTAAATCGAAGTGTTGTTTCATGGGAATAATTTTGTTTGGTACTTGCAGTGGTGGGCATGGTTCCACTAATCCGCTAATTAGCGAAGCTAACTTTCTCGTAAGCGGATTAGCGTTTTCGCTAACTTTGGAAACCATTAGCGGGCCAATTAGCTTCCGCTAAATTTAGTTCCGCAAACTTTAAGTCCGCTAACAAAATTTATACATGTTTGTTCCTGTCTGTTGTAAGCGTGTGATGCCGCGACGCGTGCCTCCAACAGCCAGTCAGGCATGCTTGGCTGACTGCGTGTTAGTACGTGTAAACGTGACAAGACTGTCAGTGTATGTTGAAAGAATCATAGAATGTAATTGTAAACTAATGTATAATTTCATTTCTCATTTATTTGTTAATTTAATTAGGATTTTTTTGTGTTAATATATTTGGTTATGCTAAGTACTGCATAAGTTCATAACCAGGATGTCATGTATAATGACTAAGACCAACAATAAGTTATATAAAAATGCACTGGTATAATGTATGTGGTTGCTATTGCATATTTACATGAATAATGAATAAGGCCGATAGGTTGTATGAGACTGCAAATTAATTATTTGTGAAATTGTGTACAGTGTACACCTTGATAAGTTGATCATCATCTGATCTTGGCATGATGCTATTTGCTACCTATGCTATACAGTATTATAGTTTTTGGATTCGTTTAATACTTTCTGTCTTTTCGTACAGTAAATAAAGATTATAAAATGTATGTTGAAACTTGAATGTAAACTAATGTTTAATTTCATTTGTTCATTTAATTATTTGTGTATCGGTACACCTTGATCATCTAATCTTGGCATGCTATACCTGTATAATATGGACACGAAGTAGTACCTTAAGCTGTGTATTCTTATATTACTCTATTAATTATGTATAGTAAAGTATTACAGAACATGTATTAATCCTATGTAATATTTCCATTTATTATGCACCATGTTATGTATGTGAATTATCATATTTACATATTATGTATTCAGCTTGTGAATACTGGCATCTGTACATGCCAGTGTGGAGTGATACAGAGAGTTGAGATCACTAGTCCTTATGGTGTGGAAGCCAGTTTCTTTGTTCCTCTGTATATCTCCCGTACGAGAATAAGAACCTATTTTCAAGATAACAAGTGTTTGTGTATACCCTCAGTAGTGTAGAACATTTTGGGGGTATCAAAGACAAACACAGAATACCTTTTTGGAAAGCTCTATGTCTAAGCTACAAGACAACATATGAAAATTTCAGCTCTCTAGGTCTGTTTTTAAGGGTTTTAGAGCCCCCCCCCCCCCAAAAAAGAAGCTAAATTCATATAATAAAAGTTAGCGGTTAGCGTTAGCTTCCTCTATTTATTTTAGCTATTTAGCGGTTCAGCGTTAGAGAAGTTAACTTTTTAGTTAGCAGATAGCGGTTAGTGAAGCTAACTTTTCATTTACCTGTGCCCACCACTGGGTACTTGAGAGAAACACAAGATACTAAAAAGACTGACAGTCTACCCAGATGCACTTCAGCCCATCTCCTAGAATAAACAAAACATTTTTTTTTTGTAGTATTATGTTAAAACAAACACTCATAAATAAACATAGCTAAAATTAAGGGATGCGAAATGGTCTGTTTACTGGCTGGGAAGATGGGGGGGGAGGGGGGAGGGGAGGTGATATGCTTGACAGTTGATGCCTAAGCATGGTCTCCAATCTTAAAACCCAAGGACTCAGTTGAATTGTATGAAATACTCCTTTAAGGATTTAACTCACATAATGATGGAAATAAAATCAACATATATAATTTGTGCAAGCCCATACATTTTATTGTTGAGTCTTAATGATATGGTCACTGCATGTTTCATAGCAAGCTATTCTAAACCAACATTAAACATACACATGATGCTTCAATAAGGTACACTACAGTATGTGTTTTTCAAGAGTTCAACAAAGTGGTATCAAGAGTGTGAGGAAGGGCTTAAGCCTCACCCTATACAGTACTGTATACCCATACTTTGCTACTGTCTCTGCTTCCTTTATACACTTCATTTTCCAAAGAAAGCCAAACCTACCTCCATACATTACTACATTATCAGAGTTATTAAATATTTATACCTGTGATGAAGAAAAAAAATATTCCCCAACTACACTGGTAAAAAGAGATGCATACACCATAAGTTCATAATTCATTAACATTCATATGCATATGAGGATCACCTTCACTACACGATGATAGAAATTATGAAACACAATACTGACCTTGACTGTCTGGATTGCTCGCGTTCCTCTTAGTTCTCGCAGGAGGAAAATAGTTTGGTCTGGGGTGAGTGAATTCTCAAAGTATTGTAGTAGACATGAAGCTATAACACATGCTCGCCCTAATCCTCCCATACAACTGAAATCACATGAGAAATGCATATTACTTCATTGTTATTCAAACTCTATCAATTTCTTGTGGCTTTTTAACTATGGACCAGTAAAACCTAGCAAGATCACCCCAAAGAGATTAGTAACTCAAGTTCCTGACATCTTAATATTGTGACTAAATTCCAAGATCACAACTCTCAGGATCAGTTTGTCTCTTTGCATCAAATTGTTCACCAAGTATGTTAGTAAATTGGGGTAAGATCATATTTTTTTTTGAAGATTATTGCTTGGTAAATGCAGGGGAACAAAAACAATTATAAACAGTGATATTTACCAACAATCATCAATCATCATCATCATCAGCAATCATCATCATCATCATCTCCAAAACATAGACCTGGATTGCTAATTAGTCATTGGTGGTAGAATGTGAAATAGTATCCTGTATATATACAGCCACTCCTCGACTTACAACGGGGTTAGGGACCCAAATCCAGGTCATAAGTCGAAAATGTGAAGATAATACAGTACATAGAAAATCTAAAATGGGTGTCTCTTTTTCTTCTCAGCACCACAAAACTCTCACTTTTAAACTTGCCTGCCATTTTAAAGTGAATTACAAACGAAAATTTTGTTAGTACACAGTGCAATCACTAATGTCGGAACTTGGCTCTAGAGGATACGACAGTTTGCTTCACAGAAGCAGTGTGATCTCTGGTATTTAAGTGAGGAGTCAGTAGCTCTGGCTCTCTTCAGTGATAGTGTTTCGTATGCTGAGAAAAGAGAAATCCTTGAGTCAATGAAGGGAAAGAACGAGAAAAAGGAATGTCCGAAGAAGCTGAAAGTGACAGAAGAGGAAATTCCATCACTGGAGCTTAAAAACCTTGCACCCACAAATACTAACTGCTTCTTTCAAACCACGCTCCTGGATTCTGAATTCGTCTCCAAAGATCCAAGCCAATGGAAAGACGATCCACAGTTCCTTCAGTCAAGGGAAATTCTACAAGAGTTGCAGGTGGTGAATGATGTGGCCGAAAGCGCGGTGAAGCTTATCCAGGACTACAACTCTTCAATTACGAAAAGCGAAGATCAAAAGCAGTACCTGCTTCAGGTGGTCACCACACATTGACAGCAGTATCCCAACATAAAGAAGGCTAATCTTCTGTGATGTATGTTTCTCTTACATGTGTTCTTTATGTTAATCTCATATTTTGGATAAAATAAACACCAACAAATAACTGTAACAAATAAGTCACTTGTATCTGATGTCAGGAACAAGAATTATTTTATAGAGGGAGAAAACATTAGAGAAGTAGAATTTTTGGGCCACTTGTGCATACCCTAAATGAAGCTGTAATGTCCTATAATTTTGCCTGAAATGTTTTTTCATGTAAAGGACGCAAATAAACATTGAGCACTAAAAATATAAAGAACTTTACTTTTTTTGAACCACCCTAATAAATAAATATATATAAATATACATATATATATATATATATATATATATATATATATATATATATATATATATATATATATATATATATATATATATATATATATATATATACAGTATATATATATTATATATATATATATATATATATATATATATATATATATATATATATATATATATATATATATATATATATATATATATAATATATATATATATATATATATATATATATATATATATATATATATATATATATATATATATATATATATATATATATATATATATATATATATATATATATATATATATAATATATATATATATATTTTTTTTTTATACAGTGGTCCTTTGGTTAACAAACGGTTCAGTTAACGAAATTCCAGTTCACAAATTACCTTCCATAAGAATCTTCAATTCGGTTAACGAAATCTTTAGGAAAATCACATTTTGTTGCGAGCATCAGCTGATGGGCTCGTCTGCCAATTCAGTAATCTGTTCTCTGTTTACATTTGTTTTCAATGGAGTAAATATCAATAAAGTTGTGCTCTTCAATATTTTTGCGTGTTTTATTTTAAAATTATTAGCCATTTTAACATTTATTTAACATATTAATAATATATGCAGTACAGAGAACTAGTCTGTTGTCCACCCATCAGATGCACGAGTCGGTCACAAGGCGTCAGTTGAGACTTTGAAAACAGTGAAGAGAGCAACTATTTTGTTGGTGTCTTGAATATATTTGCATTTTTCATTGAAATTTTTGGTCATTCTGAACTTTAGTTAACATATTAATAATATATAGCGCAGTGCAGTGTTGATTTAAAGAAAATAATCTTGAATTACACCTAGTGAACTTAAAATTTTATTGGTGAAATGACTGCATCATGCATGGGTCCCCTGAAAGATGATTTCTCCTCCATCCCCACTTCCTTCTCTTCTCCCTTCTCCTCCACCCCACTTCTAATTCCCATCATCATCATCAACCAGGAACCCTCTACATACACACCTCAAAGTAAGTGTACTTTTGCTCTTGCAAAACTGTAGTGATCTTCATGCTCTAAATGCTCTACAGCATCTCCAGGATGCAACAAATGGACAGCATCATTCAACCTAAAACTTAGCAAGAATTGCATGCATTGTTATTATATTATTGTTCATTACTGATCTACATGAGAATTCTTTGAACACTATACAGCTACTCCCCAACTTACGACCACCCGAACATATGACCGCCTCGGTTGTACCAAAATTTTGTCAAATTACGTATTTTCGAGTCCCAATGTCAGTGATTGCGCTGTGTACGGACCATCTAGATAGCTGACCGACCTTCTTATAAGACCCAATAATTTATTTGCCTGATTTACCTTCTTCTCGCAATGGCCCAAGAACTTCAGCTCGTTGTCAACATACACACCTAGGTCCTTCTCACATTGTCTCAAATAGTGCAGTTTCTTCATCCCGTTGGGACATATGATATGCCTCCGTACCGTTGGTACGCCCCAGGTGCATCCTCTTACACTTCGTGACATTGAATCTCAGCAGCCATTTCTTCGACCATTCTTGGAGCTCACAGAGATCCTTCTGCAGCTCTTCACAGTCCGCATGGTTCTTGATTCCCGAAAAAACTTGGCGTCATCGACAAACATTTGTATGGAGAAGTGTACAACGCCAGGCATGTCATTTGTGAAACAAACAGCGGGCCCAATACACTGTCCTGTGGTACCCCTGCTTGTGACAGGTACAGATGATGATTTGGTGCCATTAATCACCACACACTGCTTGCGGTCCTGTAGACAGTCTTCTGTCCACGCTAGGACATTTCCCCGAATTCCGTACCCTTCCAGTTTGATTTTCAGCCTTTTGTGGGATACACTGTCGAAAGCCTTGGCAAAATCTAGGTATATATTGTCGATATTACCACCCCGTTCCAGAATATAGGTCCAAATATCCAATACTTTGAGCAATTGTGCTAAGCAGGAACGCCCCGGCATAATACAGTGTTGGCAATCCTTTGCAAGGTTGTTTCATAGTAGATGTTCCATCGCGGCATCTCTGATAATACTCTCAAGTACGTACTTTACATAATATGCTGGTCAGGCTCACCGGTCTATAGATGTTCGTGGAGTGACGATCGCCCTTCTTGGAGATAGGACTCGCATAAGCCACTTTCCATTCACTGGGGACCTTTTGTTCATCCAGGCATTTACAAAACAGGATCTTCAGGGGCTCGGCAAGCTCGTTGCACAACTCTCTTAGCACTCTGGGATGCACCATGTCAGGGCCAGGAATCTTGTGGACCTTTAGCTTTGACAGTTTATTTCTAATACTCTCTTCTGTGAACACAATGTGGGTCAGTGCTGTGTCGAACCACTCTGTCCTCAAACTCAGGAAGGTTAATCGCATCCTCTCTTGTGAACACCGAGGAAAAGAAGCTATTCAATGCCTCGGCTTTATCCTGGTCAGAATCTGTGTAACTACCATCTTCAAGCCTCAGGTCTGATACTCCTACTCGCAGTTTAATTTCGACTTTGTATATCACATTTGCTCATATTAACTAAACCTTTCAGTCATAATACAAGCAGGGCACAATTTTTCTACTGCTTTCATAAAATAAACTCCTTATAACTACACTACTGTACAAGTACAGTACTTTACAACAATGCCACCATATGCACTTACTGTATAAGAATCTTCCGATTTTCCTCCAAGGCCTGTCGAACTGTATCAATAACTACCATAACATTGTCAATTGAAGGAGCTGTGCCATCAGGAAATGGGTAGTGATGAAGACGTATTCCTCGCATCTCGTACTCATTCATTAAATTTGATACTCTATATTTTCGTAACTCCCCCTTTGTAACGAGCATCACTACATCAGAGATTCCCAAATCTTCTATTTTATCTGAAAAACAATCAATGACGATATCAATCAATCATGATCTTACACATAATTCAAACATTCAAAATGAAAAGTCACAAAGTTTTATATTTCCTAATCACAAGCTGAAGATCCATCATATTTGGTCACCAAAATTATTTTAGTTTCAACACTGTTCGGCAGAACATCATTAAGGAAGTTCCTAAAGGCATGTACTGTAACAGCTTTCATCATCTATCATAATTTACTGACTAATTTAAAATTACACATACTGGAGAGCATCTTATATACATGTAATTGCAACGGCTGCCAAACATTATCAAAATATATAGTAAGTTATTGGAGTGAAATATGCTCAACTTACTTAAGTCCATATGCAGGTTTTGGTGAACATTTCTGAAACGGCATCCTGGCAAACCACTGAGGGCAACAGCTTGTGGACATCCCATAAATGACATATCTAACCTAAGAAAATAAGACATTATTTCAGTGGTACAGTACATGTATACATAATAACATGATGAAATGTAATAGGAAAAAGAACATAAACACACAGTACTGTACAGTATTTAAGCTCAATAAAATTTCAATAAGTGACCGAACTTGACAAACTACTGTACAGTACTGTACCTCCATTAACCTTATCAAATCTCAATAACTGGTACATAGAGTGAAACTATCGCTGCAAACCTCACATACTGCACTGTACAATGAGGCTACAGAATTCACTACACTTAAAAACTTAATCTGCCAAGAAGCTCGCCTCCATCCATTCCACTTTTTATATACGTACAAAAATTATCTCCATTCTCACTCTGTCCTTGACAGTTTTCATTATCCTTCACAAGTCTATACTGTACTGTACCAAAACGTACTCTCAGCTTTGCACCGCTCCAATTTACTTTACTTTATCCTCTTCGCCACCGATTGGCTCATTAACCACTTGGGCGGTCAGTCAAGTCTCTGTTACACACTGTTGGCAAGTACTGGCTCAAGAAAGTATCGGTAACAGAGCCAGTGTTGGTCAAGTCTGGTCTTGAATCAGCTCACACTCGGTGCTGTCACAATGCTCTCTGGTAGATTATTCTTGGAACAACCCTGACCCCAACAAATTTTGCCCTGACAGTTTTCTGAGCTTAAGGCTTCTTCAACCTTAGGCTGTGACTTCACCCCTCTTTATTCTCTATTCAAATCTTCTTCCTTTTACTATTAATTTTCTTAATTCCTAAAATACTGCACATTTGTTTCTACTATAAACAATTTGAATAAGCACAATACAAACTTTTCACAAATTCCATATTTATCTTCTTCCTCGTCACCCAGACTTTTATAACAATTAAAACTCCACTTAATTTCCTAACTTAGCTCTTAACTTACACTTTTCCACAGCCACAACTTAAACATGATTCCAAATGCCTGAATTCATCTACCACTTTCAGAGCTTCCCAATTCAAACAAACATTACGCAAAAACAGCCATTCTTTTTTTACAAACTAAAACTTGCTTTTATCATTTTATTTGTATCTCTTTGCAACATTCTCCTCCTGCTTATTTCACTAAAAAGTTATCATTATTTACTCAAGCTAACAAAACTAAATCATACACAATACATGTGTGCTAATTTTCATTCTGTGCCAATGTAATCCAACCTCATTACACAATACCTCTCATAATAACTCACTGCCTTATCAATGTATATAATTAGCAGCACTTATATTCTCCCTCACACATTAATACTGCATTAAATAATTTATTTGTACCTGCATCACAATTCTACTTCACAGGAATACTACTGTACAATACATTACTTCCTTTATGTTATCTCAATACAACACTACAACAGCTGTTCATAAACACAAGATCAAAGTGTCTTCAAATTTGATCTCCATTAATTTATCATAAGCCTCCTCGAAGCCCATAAATGCAGCACAAGGAATTTCCTATTTTTGTCTCAGTGTTTACCATGTAAGCATCTTGAGTAGGATGGGATTTCGATCAAGTTCCATTTTTACTATTTGTCTCTGTCAGCTGTACAAGTAAGTGGAGACTTGGTTGCAATGAATAAGGGGATTGTATTCTACCAGCAATGATTAGCCAATGCAGTTAATAGCTTACATGCTTTTTTCTGAATTTTCTTTTGTCACTTGTTATATAGTTCACTAAACTAAGAGTGTAGTTGCTGTGATGATGGCAGTTTTGGAACCTTAAATAAATGTATGCTTTGGGAAGATTAATGAGTGGCCAATTTTGATCTCAAGGAGCAACCATTATTAGTGTTACAGCATGCCCTACATTTATTCCATAATTTTTTCACCACAAAATCACAGAGTGAAATGATCCTCTTAGTTAGTTAACCAAACACATATTCAATATGAATCAGCAGTTAATCCCGTAAGAAGGTTTCTCTACTGGTGCATTTAAACAGAGAGAGAGTGAGTTTGTGAAAGAGAAACTGAAGCACTTATATTAATAATTCTTTACAAACATTCATAACATTAATAGGTGGTAAAGGAAGGGTAAATGGAAAAGATGTTTAATCAGAACAAGAAGTAAATTTAACTGGGTACAGTAAAGAGTTACATCCTTCTCATTTCTGAACAGCCAGGGCTAAACTGCTTCTAAACCTTCAAGTAAACTGTCTATTTTTCAGCTATTAAAAAAAATCAAAGTTTGTGTGTATCACTAACAAGTTGTACACAAGTACCAATCTAATCAAAGAATGGCAACTTTCCTGTTTCAAAACACAGATTCATTTGTTTATTCGAAAACCCTAAATGACTACTGTACTATATTTTAGGACATGCAATAAAAAGGAACCAAAAAATCAGTAGGAAGAACATTTATGTTAGCCAGAATCAACATAAGTCGCTGCATGCATACTTCACCCGTCAGTGGCACCTCTTGCTGTTTTTATTTTCATTTCAGTCACACCAAGGAACTCATTGTGGAAGAAGCTTGTATATCGTCGAGCATTACAGCAAAATGCATCGTTAATGAAATGTCGAATTACATTTAAAAGTCATTTTGGTGTTTTCCTGTTTACTTCATCTTTTATCCTCTTCACTGATCAGCTCGTTAGCCGCTTGGGCGATCGGTCACGTCACTGATTACTTTTCCTTTTCTTTTATCCTCTTCACCAAAAGATTGGCTCGTTAGCCGCTTGGGCGATCGGTCATGTCTCTGTTACGCACTGTTGACAAGTACTGGGCATGCACCGGCTCCTGAATGTACCTGAATCCGCTCCAGTGTTGGTCAAGTCTTGTCTTGAATGAGCTCACACTCGGTGCCGTCACAACACTTTCTGGTAGATTGTTCCAAGAGTGTACAACCCTCACTCCGAAAAAGTTTGCCCTCACAGTTTTCTGGACTTGCGGCTTCTTCAATCTTGAGCTGTGACCCCTTGTGGGGCGAGCTTCCGCCAGCTCCAAGTAAGGACACTAGACTGAGTAGTGCCCCTTGAGATGCTTATACACCTCAATTAGGTCACCCCTTGCCCGTCTGTAGTATAAGCTAGGCAAGTTCAGGCGCTCCAATCTCTCAGGGTAGTTGAGGTGCCACAGTGCAGGCACCAGTCTGGTGGCCCTCCTTTAAACATTTTCAGCCAACTGACAGTCCCTAGCATATCTCGGGGACCAGAAGGGGTGACAGTACTCCAGATGGGGAAGCACTTCACTCTTGAAGATCGTTACGAGGGACGGACCGTCTAGATATCTGAACGACCTTCTTACAAGACCCAATAATTTATTTGCCTAATTTACCTTCTTCTCGCAATGGCCCGAGAACTTCAGCTCATTGTCAACATACACACCTAGGTCCTTCTCACATTCAGTCTCAAATAGTGCAGTTTCTTCATCCCGTTGGGACATATGATACGCCTCCTTACCGTTGGTACGCCCCAGGTGCATCCTCTTACACTTCGTAATATTGAATTTCAACAGCTATTTCTTCGACCATTCTTGGAGCCCACAGAGGTCCTTCTGCAGCTCTTCACAGTCTGCTTGGTTCTTGATTTCCCAAAATAACTTGGCGTCATCGGCAAACATTTGTATGGAGGAGTGTACAACGTCAGGCACGTCATTTATGAAACAAACAAACAACAGCGGGCCCAATACACTGCCCTGTGGTACCCCACTTGTGACAGGTACGGATGATTTCGTGCCATTAATCACCACACACTGCTTGCGGTCATGTAGAAAGTCTTCTATCCACGCTATGACATTTCCATGAATTCCGTACCCTTCCAGTTTGATTTTCAGCCTTTCATGGGGTACACTGTCGAAAGCCTTGGCAAAATCTAAGTACCGGTAAATATTGTCGATATTACCACCCCGTTCCAGAATATGGGTCCAAATATCCAATACCTTGAGCAACTGTGTTAAGCAGGAGCGCCCCGGCATAAAACCGTGTTGGCAATCCTTTACCAGGTTGTTTCGTAGTAGATGTTCCATTGCGGCATCTCTGATAATACTCTCAAGTACTTTACATATTATGCTGGTCATGCTCACCGGTCTATAGTTGTTCGTGGAGTGACGATCGCCCTTCTTGAAGATAGGACTCACATAAGCCACTTTTCATTCACTGGGGACCATTTGTCCTAAAATATACTTTAATAATCATTTAGGGTCCTCGAATGAAAAAAAAAAGACTGTACTCACTGTAGTCATTATGTTTGTGCTCCCTAATAGGGAAGGACCTTCAGACCTCTACCTCATAATTATCTAGTTCAATACAGCATTCCCTTTTAGCCCCCAACTTTAAAACTACTGATAAATGAAAAAGCTGTGGTTATTTACCAAAGATATGAACATCAAATTCAACAATCTTGATATATTGTAAGGCTTCTTACTGGAATATGAGTCCTCATAAGTGACCTGCAAAATATACCACTACAGTACTAAACATCCTGTAGGTAGAGCCTGCCAATGCTTGGGGTGCTTATAGCTTAGTGTTGTTAACAACTCTTGACCTGAAGACTCCATAGTCTCTCAAACAACTGCATAATCGAGATTTTAATTCAGATATGGCTGGGTAAGAAAGCTACTTGTAGCATAAACAATGTCTATACAGATAGTATATCCTCATGCAACAGCAGGTACCACCTGGGCCTTTAGTTGTGGAATATCTGTAGATCATTCATGTCACCCCAAAGCCATAAATAAAAAGGGGTTTCAGGCATTAATCTTCCATTTTTGGGCTTCAAAGATTACTTAGGGAATACAGTATTACTTTTGGACAAGCTTGGTACTGTATTAAACTTGTACAGTATTTCATTTATGAAGCTAATCACAGATGGGATTACAAAAATAGAAGTAGAGTACCTGTACTTTACAGTAATCAGGAAAAGGCTGAGAACATTCTTTTCTAATTACTGTATGTCTCCTTTCTCTGAGTCCGTGGGTCATCTGAATAGTACGCCCCTAGCAGGTGGATGTTCAAACGGTTGCACAATAGTAGAGAAAGGTCACAAGAATCTTATATGTGAAGTAGAGTGAAATGACACACACAACTAAAAAACAACATTAGGTTACACATTATAAAATCTAAAGAATTTTATGTGCTCCATGGGTGTGATATGGGGAACAATGATACAGCTAGAATTATAAGGTATTCACAAGCATAGCACTGAGCCCTCCTATGCCTTCACTACCCTTGTAATGACCCTCTAGTGTCTTCATTCCCTAGGCACTGTGGCAATGATGGCTTCTGTGTCTTCACTACTGATGAAGGCTGAAATGACAACAAAAATAATTTAAAAAACTGAAATAAATGGAAAGAGAATAAGGGTCTGCTAACTGTAAAATGCAATGACTTAATGAGGTGTAGATAAATGGAGAGAATGCTGGCAGTGTTTAGTGGTGTGTGGTGACAGGTATGTGTGAAAGGCACAGAGGATCCTGCCAGAGTTTGGAAGTAAAAAGTGACAGTCGTGTGTGACACAGGTTATACACTGGCCAGTAGAAGATGACCCCTGGAAACAAACATAATTCATGGCATGAAATTTATGCAGTGATGAGGGCTCTACAAACAAATATTAATTGGGGGGCCTTTATAGGTATTCTGCAGACTACATACACAGCATTAGATATTGTACTTTTATTTGTGACTAAGAAACTGGGCTGGGGTACCACAGCCATTCTTGACCTTTTGTCAAGAAACATGTTTATGTACTAGTCTATACAAAAGGCTTTCTAATTATTATATTATACAGTATAGTATAATACGCATAACTAGTATTTAACCATGCATTAAACTAACTACTGTAATATTGTTATAATTTAAGACAATTATCTTAGAACAATAAAATCACCGATATCCATCAATCAAAAGCATGTGAAAATTATTTTACTGTACAGGTATTTACAAAAATTTTGTCTCGTAGTTGAAAAAAATAATAATCTGAAAAACAAATTATATATTATCAACATGCATATCATTTAACTAACCCAAAAATATTTTACTTTTCATACACATAAGATGCATCAGCACTTCCATCAATTGTTGTTAGCAACCTGTGTATTCATCAGGGTACCTGTACTCCACAATCGAAAATCATTTACAAATTGCTGGCATGGTACACCAAGTGGCTCCCTCAACATGTTTATGGGATGTACCTTCCTTCCTCCTCAATTTATTTAGTTTGCTACATAGCATTTTGGGTGTAGGATCTATGCCTGTATATCTCACTTTTCCTCTGCTTGGTGGTAGAGCGAGAAATGTGTGTATCTCTCACAACAATGTCCTGGGTTCAATCCCCAGCCCAGGTCAGATGTGAGAAGGGTGTTACCCTGTGCAACCATACCTAACACTGTAGATTTTCTCTGGGTATTCCAGTTTCCTCCTGTAATAACACTGGACAATTAATCTCATAAAAAAAGAACAGATCAACCACCCAAACTCCTCGGAAGCTGATACGTGGTGAAATGATAAATAAAAAACAACTTAATGTCAATGTGTTCAAGGCTCTGCAGTCAAATTGTCCAGTCATTTTGAAGGTCAACACATTTGGATATGTGACTACCTACCCAGGTAAGAAGTTCCTTTTGTCCACAATGTAAAGCGAATTGTTTTTTCCAACTCTGCAAAATTTATGCTGCTATACCTAAGAACTTTGTGGTCATACTTATTAAATTATAACATGACAACAATTTTAGTGAACTTATTAATAAAAAATTATGACAGGACAGCATTATTAGTAGAGTACATTTTCTGTTAAATTAAATCAAATAAACTTACCAGTCTACCTTCAGTGTTTGTACTGAAGCCTGGCTAGACTCATCGTCTGAATCTGAGGAGTCGAACATTTTGTGTTCTGCAACTATTAAGAAAATAAATATTAATGCCATTGAGTTTAACACAGATATGATAAAAAAGAACATGAAGTAGTGTTATCATTAAAATAAAAGAGAATGTCAAGTATAAAAAGAAGGATGACTGAAATGGGGAATACTCTTGCATGGATAAGGAGACCCGCGAGAGACATGTCAGACTGAGACATACCAAACGCTGTGCATTGTTTGACAGCAGAGGTGCTTTACCAACCAATAAAATATAGCTGCAAGTGATAAATGAACTGCAGCCCTCCTATTCAATTGAATCCATTAAAATTTGTATGAATCTCTGTTTTGGGGGCCAGTAGGGTTCGTTAGATCAATCAACAAATGCATAAGGAGATTTTCTTTCTGTACTCATAGGGTTAATGCACAGAACACATATCTGGTGGGTGGAGCACTGAGAAATGGCATAAACTTAACAAAATGATGTTACTCAAATCCCCACATTCTGTACACCAAGTGCCCAGGTCTTACCAGTAAAGTTGGCCTGAAGAGGCCTACAACACTAAATGATTTATGAACCATCCAAACCTAACAAATACAAATTATTTTTCTACTTAGATTAAATTGAGTAGAATCATATGTTATAATAAGGTGTTTAAGATTTGGAGCCTCCCTAAGCAGCTTTGTTGAAAACACCACAAATATCTGCATGAAGATTTTAAGCATTGTGTCCATACATTCAAAACTGTTCTTTCCTAATCCCCAGCTGGGTTTGCACTGCAGGGTACATACTGCATATGCATTTCAACAAACTTATCAGTAAAGATCCCATCAAAAAATTTCAAGGTACTGTACAGTGTTAAGTGGCAATGGTGCCCTTAACATTTGCAACAAAGTCCAAGACACAAAGTGGCGACCTTATCGAGAACTCTCACCATTATGTGCTGTATACAGTATTTGGGTAAAATTATCCTTTCAGTCATCCAGCGATTTTTAGGATTTTAAGCTTTGGAATTAGTAGTTCTTGTGGTTTACAGTATACTGTACTTAATTGGTGTTCAAACTCACTTTTCCATTTCACCAACTGCGTTTGCATTCATATTCTAAGATGAGCAGAATGGAAAGGTTCCCATCAACTACATCATGTAATAGAACATAGAGCCCTAGACCTTTTACTTGGCACTTTCATAATGCGTCTCGAGATGGAAGCCCCCAGTAACCGATAATGAATAGCAGTATATTATTCTGTCTTTATGGACACGTCTATTAAAAAGGTATTGGATTTTCACATAGTCCACATCCACAGTACTTATAAAATATTTCAACGGGCAGATAAAAAAATACGAATCTCGTTACCTGTACTTTCCGAATAACTATCAGTTTAGCCATATATTTGTTTGTATTACATGGTGATAAATGTAAATAATTAGTCCTAACCACTTATGCAACGATATAACACTTTACACCTAATTCAACACACCTTGAAGTAGGTTGCGATACAACGAGACCTCACTCAGCAGACGCCCACCCTCGCCTCACCCACAGGTCAACAACACAACTGCCAGAGTCAGCTGATGGCCTGCCAGCCACTACCAGCCTATGACCAAGGGAACTTTTGTACCAGCAGACAAATTTAGTGATCTATATTTAATTCAAATTAACGAAGTTATGTATACATAAGTAAAACATAATTACTTTTACCACTACTCCAGTCAAAATATGCCATGATTATATTTATAGCAAGTGTTTTCAACAGTAACCGGCACGCAATGCATGTTAATAAGCTTCACCTAATATTTGGATTGATGTAAATTTAATCAAGAAACACCCTTCTCTGATGCTTTACTCATAGCCATGTTTATTCTAATTTATATACGTGTTCACTTTAATAGTATTTCAATGGCTTTGTGAGTCCTATTGTGGGGTATGAGATGTTTGTTCACACTCAGGATGGGATGGAGAAAGGAAACTCACAATGTGCTCTCTGTATACATATTGTATTGGATGTACAATGCAGCTTGGTGCTGGGAAGGCAGTATGGTTACAAGCGTGATGTAGAGAGAGCTGGTTGGTGAGGATGCTAAGACGAGGACCAGCTTGTGGGTCGCCATGGTCGCCAGCGGGAGTGAGGACCGCCAGGCAGACGGAGGAGGTGATGCTGGCTGGTTGGTGTAGGTAGAAAGAGAGAGGTCACCACAAGGTCAGGTCTTATATAGCGGAGGTAGGCGTGCCTTAATAGTTGACCTCCGTCATGTAAGGCGGCGCTGGTTGACCTAGACCACGAGGCATACACTGGGGAATTCGCGGGCCCTTGTCACTCCACGAACAACTATAGACCGGTGAGCCTTACCAGCATAATATGTAAAGTGCTTGAGAGTATTATCAGAGATGCTGCGATGTACATCTACTAGGAAACAACCTTGTAAAGGACTGCCAACACTGTTTTATGCCGGAGGAGCTCCTGCTTAACACCATTGCTCAAGGTATTGGATATTTGAACCCTTATTCTGGAACGGGGTGGTAATATCGACAATATATTCCTGGATTTTGCCAAGGTTTTCGACAGTGTACCTCACGAAAGGCTGGAAGGGTACGGAATTTGGGGAAATGTCCTAGCATAGAGAGAAGACGTTCTACATGACCACAAGCAGTGTGGTGATTACTGGCACCAAATCATCATCCGTACCTGTCACAAGCGGGTTATCACAGGGAAGTGTATTGGGCCCGCTGTTGTTTGTTTGTTTCATAAATGACATGCCTGGCGTTGTACACTCCTCCATACAAATGTTTGCCGATGACGCCAAGTTATTTCGGAAAATCAAGAACCATACGGACTGTGAAGAGCTGCAGAAGGATCTCTGTGAGCTCCAAGAATGGTCGAAGAAATGGCTGTTGAGATTCAATGTCAGGAAATGTAAGAGGATGCACCTGGGGCGTACCAACGGTAAGGAGGCGTATCATATGTCCCAACGAGATGAAGAAACTGCACTATTTGAGACAATGTGAGAAGGACCTAGGTGTGTATGTTGACAATGAGCTGAAGTTCTCGGGCCATTGCGAGAAGGTAAATCAGGCAAATAAATTATTGGGTCTTATAAGAAGATTGTCAGATATTTGGACGGTCCGCCCCTCGTAACGATCTTCAAGAGTGAAGTGCTTCCCCATCTGGAGTACAGTCACCCCGTTTGGTCCCCGAGATATGCTAGGGACTGTCAGTTGGTTGAAAATGTTCAATGGAGGGCCACCAGACTGGGGTATTAAGCTTGAGAGATAAGTCACATAATGTTGGGAAAGACCTCAGTAACTCTATTCCATCTCCTGTGCATGCCAAGTAGCTATCAAGCTCCTGCAGTTGAGGAGTTTGTGGATGATTGGTGCCTCCATTGTGACCAAGTCTGACTAAGACTCACCGTGAACTGTCCCTCTAATTGGGGTGTGGCTGTGGTGAGGACACTTTTCGATTTTAATTGACGAGTGAATGAATCTTTCACACCATGTAACGTCTGTCAGGTGCTGGGAGCGGGGGGCCAGTGGTACTTAGTTATTTAAGTGTAATTTTAAATACACTCAGTCTCACATATGTAAAGACACAGGCTTTATATCCAATATGAAATTAAGTAAAGTATTTCAGAATCACAGCCTCTTTTAAATTCATTTTAGGTACAGGTATATGCAAAGAGCAACTGACATCTAACGGGAAGATCAAGCCCCTGATGGAAAGGTGGGGGAGAAGAGAGGGAATTCGATGGGGAAGGGACAGATAAGAGGGTAGGCTAGGTGAGGTGGGTGGTCAAGGTGCTAATAGACACAAGAAGATCAAAGGGTCCTCTGTCATGGCCACTGCCACCTGACCTGACGTCACCTCACGAGAGCTTTAGGTATGTGGCTGTGTGGTGTCTCCTCACACCCACACCGTACCCTTCGCGGCTCCACCCACACCGTACCCTTCGCGGCTCCACCCACACAACTCTTTTACTATGGTTAATAATTAATTATTTAAAAAATAGATTATTAATGTAGTTTGCTTGTAACGAGTAATGATATTTGTTTTTTCAGTTGTATTGGAGTAAAAGTATTAAGAAAACATACTAAAATATTTGAGTACTTTTAAAAAGTTTCTTGAGTACAGTACTCAAGTAAATTTATTTAGTTACTTTACAACACTAAATATTCAGTACTGATATACTGTACTATGTCCTGTGACTTTTCCTATGTCCTATCCAAGTACTACTGTAGTCAACACATTAGATTGCCTGGGTGAAGAGGGAGGAACTGTCTTACTATTTCTGGAGGTTGTCTAAATCTGTAAGAAATGGGAATGATCTTGATCAGATTGAATGTCAAACATTTTTATATTATAAGTGAAAATATATACTGTACAGTCAGTACTGTACATTGGAAAACATAATCAGGTCTCATTCATTCGCCTATGAGGCTGTAGTGGATACTCTCCCCTACAACTGTCGACTGATCACCTGCCGTTCGCTTACCAGCCAATCAGCTTACAGGTAGTAGAAGCCCCAGCAACATCAAGACTAGGTCTCGGATGCAGACGTAGGGGTACTACTCACTGATTTCTGACCTTCCCAAGCAGCGACGAGTTCAGTACACCAGGCCTCTCTCACGAACTGCACGGTGATTGGCCCCGCACACTTCACACCTCACTTCCCTGATCCTGACCAACCGTATAAATGCGCGTCGGCCTGGCTGCGGAATTCCATTCTACTCTACTCTCCTGAACCAGCAAGACCTCCAAACAAGCTCCTCACCAACCAGCTCCCTCAGCAAGCTCCTCACCCAACAGGACCTCTGAGCAAGCTTCTCACCACACAGCAACTCCTCAGCACTGCACTGTACATACAATATATATACAGAAAATGCATTGTGAGTTTCTATTCTTACCTCCATCCTGAGTGTGAGATATCTTACATGTATGTACGTATGTGAGCCCATACAAAGAGAAATAGACAAGCAAAGAGAACTTGACAACTGGCCACATACAGTACGCTACAAGGCCACTTACCATTACCAGAATCAGAGATCCAATGGAGCGTCATTTCTATTGAATACTTTTATAAGTCACATTTTATTTATCTCCCACAAACATTATTTCTGTCCACGTGTCCAGAAGTTTCAATACTGCACTTGAATGTAATGCTTATGAAGCAGTAGTGTTTTTCATTGCACAGATGATTATCTATCATGTGACCCACAATACAGTCCGTTAAAATGGATTAAAAATGTTTTAAGTATAATTCATAAATTTACTACTACCATAATACAATACTGTACTGTACAATACTGGTGTTGAGCTTCACATATTCCCAGAATTATAAGGGATTGGATTATGTATCTTGCATATTTCTCTGTTTCCCTTGTCATCTTATGAACATTGTCTCTGATTTGAAAATCCTTTATACTGTTCAGTATATCTCTTCCTTATTACAATGTATGTGTCAGCAGGTGTATGTGTTTGTGTGATGCTCTTACTCATTCTTGATGTTATGATATAGCTTGGTAGAAACTTATCATTGGAAGATCTAAGTTTGTGTAAAAGTACCTCACTGTGCTTCAATGCCGTTTGAGAGTACTGTATATTCAACTGTTCTTACCAGTCAATACCAAACTCGTCCCAAATTAAATAATACAGTAGTTACCATTATTTAGACATTTTTCTTTAGTTTGTTCCATTTGATTATAAAATAGCCCTCTTACAATTTAACTTGAACACAATCAGGCAAAGGTCACTCTTGATCAAGGGAAATGGTACAGTACTCCTCATATAACACAGTACTGTACCATTCTCTAAGAAAAACCCATGGTGCTTAAGCCAGATAATCTAGAGAGGAGATGAAAGTTGATCGGATGGATAATTAACCCAAAGAAGCTAGGATGTTATGGTATGGGGGTTAAAAACTAACTTAACCTTAAATACCTCCCAACATAAGATATTTAACCTGCTCTCTCTCCTTGACCAAATGTCAGGAGGTAAGAGTTTTGGCACTGGACCAGGAATTACTGTAAAGCAATTATGAAGAAATGGACAGTCCTAGTATAAAAGCTACCATAACTGTGATGTCCGAGGTTATGTATTTTTTAATGAGCATATTGCCGAGCGAGTTTAATGACCCTATTATTCAATCTCAAGATTTTAAATACAGTACATCACTTAAGAAAAACTCAGAAACTTACACCAAAAAGCAATTTATAGAATGCAGTACTTAAAAAGAAGTTTTATTTTCAAGCTACAGATGTTCAATATTAGCTCTTTTTGTGGCTCTGCAGACATCAAAGCAGTACAGTACATTATTCTGTTTCCCTCCATACATTTTATATCATATCATGTGGTAGTAGGCAGCTATTAAACAGGGAGGTACTACCACTTAGGAAGGTATTGGAAGCATAATGTATTGTCTAATGGTAGACCCTGCTGCCATATGGCATCACAAAAATTGTGACCAAGTCCCAGGTTGCTGATCTGACTTTCTGCCTCATTTACACACAATTGTAGGGTCTCAATTGTTTCTCTTACTTTGACAACACAACATACATATATCATTTCTCACTATTGATTTTTTTTTTATTTTTTTATTTCTTTATGGTTCTTTATTATTATTATTACAGTGTTGTTGTTATTATTATTATTTAATTTTTAATTTTGTATTATTATCAATTTTATTTACTATGAATCTATTATTTTATTTTTAATTTTGTATTTTTATTATAATTTTATTTACTATGAATTATCATAATTATTATTACAGTATTACACTTTCACCTCCCATGCCCCGATGTGAGTCAGTGACCCGTACCTGGGTGGGCTAATCTCTGTGTAAAAAAAAAAAATGGTCTCTGCAATTACTATAATAGATACTGTATTGTGCATGTAAAATTTCATATGCAGATTAAAAGTACATCCTGTACAGTACAGTACTGAATACAGTAAGAGGATACAAGTCAGATATTTTTTTTTTTTTGTCACATAAGAGGTGTTGGTGGTACAGTGGTAACACACAGCATAACTCTCACCAATATATCAGGAATTCAAGTCTTGGCTTGGACAGATGTGAGAAGGGTGTTATCCAGTGTAACACTATCAAACATAACAGGTTTCCTGGACTGCAGTTTCTTCCTGTACTAATACTAAATAGACCATCCACCTGAATGGCTAGTTAGGTGATAGGTGGTGAAATGTTAAAAGAATAAAAAGAATAAACTTAATGACTGTATCTACTTTTAGGAAATATTATTTCAAAGTTATAGCATAATCAATGTATTATGAGGATGATGGCAAGTTGAATTTTGTACTGGGTTGGCAGTCTATCAGTCATGGATTCAAATCCTCATTGAGGAGATACAGTAATATGTGATTTATCCAGTGCGAGTCAGTATCAGTAGTATAACTGTTACCGCAAGCAGTAATGAGTATACAGTATATAGAGTATTGAAGGTGGAGATGGAGAGGCCCAGAGTAGGTTGAGGTGTTGGGTGGTGTAAGGGGAGCTTGTTTGCGTATAAAACGCCTGATGCAGCAAATTTGGCCAGCCAGGGCTGGACATGTGATGCCAGGCAGGGCACTGCCACTGTAGCTATCCCCATCATAGAGCCAACACCTAACCTGTTTCTCTTGAGACTTTCAACACGTAAGTTTAACTTGTACTTATTGTGTACACAGGTAGACTGTGTCCATTGCATCGTTTATCATTGTGACAACATAAAAATATGGCAAATTAAGTACTCATTGTAAGTGTTAAGATTAGACTAATTACATAGCTTTGATTGTTATGTAAATATATATTGGATTAAACATTTATGTATGATTGCCTATGTATGATTTATTTGAAATACTAAAATAAATTGTATTCAACAGGTATGACCGAATTATAATGTTCGAGTTTAACGTGAAGAGTCTGATTAACCTTTAAATGCCCGGAGGGCGTTTACAATAACCATATTAGCATTGATTAGTGTAGAAACCCAACTGGCTCACAAACATTCAGATCACATGTAAAGATAAACCTATCCTATCTGAAACTGTCTGTTTTAGATGACACCAGGCCTATGTAACTGACATCCTGCACTTGGTAAACTTAGGTTGAATATGAAGCACATTGTCTGGGTACTCTTGTATACCTCTCTCAGCACATCATGTGTGTGTATATATATATAAAACTGACATGCAGAAGGAAAACTCTTATTTTACAGGAAATATATTTATAGGTACATGTACAGGAGGTCCCCAACTTACAAACGCCCGCCAATACGAACAAGGTTAAACTTGAAATTTACTGTATTTTATTTACCTGATGACTTTTTTGTTTACTTTCATTTACCGTATTTTGTAATTCTATTTCTTATTTTGTCTTAAATTAAGTGATTTTAAATGTATATAAGGACTTAGGCTATGATGTAGTGGGATTTTAAACATTGTGTTTAAGTACGGTATGCATACACCATGTGTTCTGACTGACGTACAAATCCGACTTACTAACATCCTCAGGAACGGAACCCGTTCGTAACCCGGGGACCCCCTGTATATAGAATTTTGTTGTCATTAGAACTAAAATTATGTATGTAAACATATCACAGCAAACAGTAGTTCAAGTGATAGCAATATTTATGTTGGCAAAAATATCTTTCAGTAATATGCTGTACAGTACTGTAAAAAAATATCTTTCTTGAGTTGTAAAAGCTGTCTCTTGTCTAGAGTACAAACTACAGTATTTTGGGAATCTTGCTTACTTGCCCCCTTCACTATGGGGATGGCACTTTTAATATTTTATCTGACTAATGCAAGACAATTTGATCAGCACACACACACCCATACACAAGGGGTTCAAGACTTTAGGCATTGAAGCATGCAAACACACAACACAAGACATTGTACAGTATGTATAAGTAATACAGTGTTGTTGCATTTGTTTGCACAGTATTCATATTTTTTTATGTAAAATATACTCACTGAAATTGATAGTTTCAATTAACTGAATGACAAAGAGCATCAAATGTTAAATCAAGGATTAATTTTGTTCATTTTCACAATTTACTGTTACATACGGTTATTCAGATCAATCATTGACTGATTCTCAACTTCCCAAAGATAAGAAGGTTGAGTGTTCAACACTTACCACATTTATCTCCACAAGTGTTGGAGCTACAAATCTGGTGTACAATTGGGTCAGAATTATAACTGATTTGTATGTCATGGGGTGCACATCCATGGTCTACCTCACAAGCTTTTTTCCACTTAGTTTTCCATCATTGCCCAGTGTTTGAACCATTATATCTGATAACCATGGACCTAGCACGTAAATCTGGTACAGAACTGTACTTAGAAATGTTTAAATTTTGACTGGGGCTGATAACGTAAAAGTTTAAATTTCCCCTCATGAAGTGTATCCCTCATATTTTGTAAAATTTCATAATTCGTAAGGGCTAAAGTCCCAATTATTTTGAATTATGGCGGTTTTACTGTCCCACTTTTTGTGTGGCAAGAAGTTTGTGACCCTGCCATGCTAGCTAAAAAGGTACATGGAAGTCGTACATATAATGTCCAGTTGTCACTCTGTAAATGTGCTTTGGCAATAGGAAGGGCAACCAACCATAAAACTGGGTTCAAATTTGCCTGATGGTAACTGGAACACCATGCCATCACATAATCATGGCAAACTCATGCAAGAACGGAAAAGGGTCGTAAATCAGTGCTAACGATGATGCCATTATGCAATATAAGTTCCCTGACATGGCAGGATAGCCAAGGACTACTTAGTGTTGCTACATCTTGCAGGTCACTAATGTGGACCTGTAGGCCATATATATTATTTCATGATTTTCTATACAAATAAGGCTTGTGACAAAACACTGTTAAGTCAACTTAACCAAGAATGAACTCAGGACTCATTGTCTGTCAAAGGCATAGCCAAAATTAAAGCAAGTAAAGCTTTCATAAACACATTTCATGGATATTAATTACATTATCAGCACAGATTATTAGGTATAAAAAATCATACAATACAGGTAATAATAATAAAACGGCTGTTACAGTATCATGATACACTGTTATGTTAACATTTAGTAGCCAAATTATTCAACAAGGCTGCTAGCTCTTCATGTGCTTCTTGGACCTTAACCTCAGCAAGGGTTATGTCTGGTGGGAGTGTATAACTCTTCAACTGATTCTCCAAGTCACTAACCTGAAATGTGATATAATGGGAGATGAAGCAGTTCAACATAATATTGTAACACTGGCATTATATGCACTCCAACACACATCATAAAATAATACACCAACCAAAGTACTCTGTATCACATTATTTTACAGAGACATGTAACTTCTGATCTCATTGCCTAAAATGTCCATCAGTCCAGCCTTCCATTGGTATTGTACTTCTACAGGCTCCCCCAGGCTTCTTTTGCTCTATCTGAAGCAACTACCATATCTTTTGCTATCCCTATTCCCCCCTTTGTTACTTGTGATAGACTGGGAAGGTACACATGGCAGTTTCCTCTGGAGGGCAATATATTTGATAAAGATCCATATTCAACCTACTGTAGTATACCATGGATAAAAAAGATGAAGATACATGAATTAACTTTGTAATAAGAGGGGAGTGCAAACATTATAATTAGAGTGTTGCAAGTTGTATGATAATGGAAAGATGGGAGAGAACAATAGATACAGTATACTGTATCCCCAATAGCAGGAATCTTTGATTCCCAGAACATTCCAATACCCAGAAAAAAAAATCTGAGAAATTGCAAAAATGCCTCCATTTTGGCCATTCGAATGAATTTCCAAACAATTGCATCATACGCCAAGCACGTGTCAAACACGTGGGTGGGCTAGCTGCATGGAGAATTTAGGTCATAGGTTCTGAGTGCTTATGTTCTGTGATTGTCTACTACAATATTGTCATATGACTGCATGGGATGTCTATGATTGGCTAATGTATCTCACAGCCTATCTCTTCAAACTCTAGCATCATGAAATGCTCTTAGTTCATTGTGTGCTGCCATTGTACAATCTTGTTTGCTCGCTCACTGCTGTTTTTTAATACAATCTGTGTTGTACAGTACTGTACTGTATGCTCATAGGTGAGACTTGGGGATAAAACATATGACTACAGTATGAGAATATAGTGGGTGTTCCAAACAATATTTCAGACATATCCAAAGGTATCATAATTCATTTTGTAACAAACAAAGTCCGGCTTCTTGTATATTAAGTCTATGTAGTTTACCACAACATTCTCTCGTGGATATCTGCCTGGTATCCTCAGACGCACTAAATGCATAATCTGAATTCAATGGGCTGATAAAGATTTTACTGACCTGCTTCTCAAGATCTTTGAGTTTTGCCCACTGTTCTGACAGAAAGGCATGTGTGATGTTTTTCTTCATTCCAACTTGGCTTAGTCTGGCCTGTAGTATGGAGATAATGAAAAAAAAATTAAAACAATTAATGTTTATAACAACATAATTGCTTTATGAGGAACAATGTAGTCAAAGAAAAAAGTTGTATTACCTCACTGTGTATTATGTTCTGATACCCACGATGAAGAATTTGGGTAAATTTCTCCATTAATGACAGTGAAACTACAAGGTTTGAGTCTGAACCACCAAAATTAATATCTTTAGTACAGGTTGTACCTCTCTAGTCCGGCATTCTGTGGTCCGGAAACTCCCGTGGTCCGGAACGATTTTAGTTTGTCCAATAGGTAGATAGGCAGCTTCTTTTTTTTTTTTTTTTAACTTATCTGAATTATTATTATTATTATTACAGGAGTATTAAATTGTCGCCCCTCAGGCCCCAATGTGGGTCAGTGACCTATGCCCGGGTGGGCTAATCCCCGTAAAAAAATACAACAAAGCCGCGGGAAATTAAGATTTGTTTACATCCGGCAGTTCGGCTGTTCTCTCTCTCTGCTTGTCTATACAGAGTACAACATTTAACCCTTCAATATATATGAGCAGTAAATAAGTGTTGCTTTCATATTCTTATGTAGAGTAATGACGATATGTTTTCATATGTGCACATTTACATATGCACAGTCTCACTTTTTTTTCTTTACCATTAATGGTTAGCTACTTATATTGTTCCATTTATTAACATTAAATAACATTACTTCAAACAACCATATTAAATTTTTTACATTAATTTTACTACAGCTACAATCAGGGTCTTATTTTCTTCAGTTTTATATCAGTCACTGGTTTTGTAAGCATTAACGAAAACAATGCCGACAGCCATTTCGTCTCCTCGTGTGTTTTAATATTCCATGTAGTATTAATGAATTGTATTGTTCATTTTGCACACACAAACATTAATTAAATAAAAAAAAATCAGAAACATTAATTAAAACATATATGAACGGTAAATAAGTGTTGCTTTCATATTCTTATGTAGAATAATGACGATATGTTTTCACATGTGCGCACTTACATACGAGATCTCTCTTCTTTTCTTTACCATTATCGTAAGCTACTTCTATTGTTCTATTTATTAACATTAAATAACATTACTTAAAACAACCATATTAATTTTACTGCAGCTACAACCAGGGTCTTATTTTCTTCAGTTTTATATGTAGAACCAGTCAGTTATTGGTTTTGTAAACAACGAAAACAAAGCCGTCTCGTCTCCTCGTGTGTTTTAATATTCTACTTATTATAAATGAAAAGTATTGCTCATTTTGCACACATAAACATTAATTCAATCAAAGAGACATTCAGTAATAAACAATAATGAATCCTTTGTACATAAGAGAAATGACGCTGTTTACACGATTGTGCACGTCTGAACATTGGTGAGCCGTTCAAACCGGTCGAAATTCGAGTTTCCGCCGTCAAAATTTTGAATTGTTTTGTTTTTTGTGTTCCAATAAAAAACGTTGAATTAAAAACTCGCGAAATTTGAGAAGCTACTGTACGACATTTAACCCTTCAATATGTCTTCAAAGAGACCATGAAGCAGAGAAAGTGGTGCTAGTGCTTCCAAGCATAAGCACAAGTCACTATCTATCCAGGAAAAGGGTGAATTTCCATGGTCCGGCACTGGTCAGGTCCCGAAGTTGCCGGACTAGAGGTACAACCTGTATTACCCATAGATGACACACTTTGCACCATTTCTTTGTGTTTTAATTTTAATTTCAATTTATCCTTTCACCATTTATCAGCTTACAAGCCATTCAGGCAATTGGTTTGTTGTTTGCTAATAACTTTTCCCAAATTCTTCATCATGGGTTTCAGAACATTAGGTACGATGGATGCAATGCAATTTTTTTCTTTGACTGTACCAGTATGTTTTGTGAGCTATTAATCAATGGCACTTCAGAGTGAGTACAGCACATGTTGATGTGTTCTTTCCAGAAGCAAAATTACTATTCAATACACAGTGAAAATCATTGAGCCCCAATTGAAATTAATTAAGAATGAGAAAGTACTAAGATTATGGTAATTAACCATTTTTTAAAATTCCCACAATATAAAGTAGAATGGTCCCATGCAAAACCTAAGTCCATGGTATCTGTAGTAGCTTCTAGCATCACTTACAGTATACTGAGAGAGAGAGAGATGCATCACCTTTTTGTTTAATAATAATACTTGTGGCACTATCAATAAAATATGAAAAAATTAAACCCATCAAAAACAAATGTAAAGAAAAACTCTGTTAACACCATTACCATATTTGGTGGTCTAATATATATTTATAATTCTCTAAGATAATAATATGTAGTCTTCTAGTGAGTGAGGTGACACTTGTTTACTTATGAGGAACTTGAGGGAATCTGTGACAATATGGTTACATCTGAACATGGTCAATCAACAAAACTCTGCTAACCCTATCACCGTATGTTGCTGGTGCTCAACAATCCTTTAGTAATGTTAATGACAAGGTACAGTACCTCATACTGATTAATATCTGATACATATTTTTTGAATTTTCTCCTGATAAATTCCTCTTGCTTGATATCTCTTGCATGTTCTTCTTGCTGTTGTGCCCATGTTGCCTCCGACTGCTGAAATATCCTGAAATACAAAATTGTGTTAAGTACAGGTATACATCCACAAGTAGCATAAGAAATATGGTGAATGCTTGGGTCATGGCATAACAAGATTCATACCTACACTTAAGAGTACGTATCAAGTAGATTTATTTGAACAGACTACTGTTCATACCTGTCTTACTGACAGGGTGTTCCTGCTTAATTAATTAATCAGATGATGGATCTGACCCAGTGATCATTCACATACTTTAAAAGTAAAAACATTCAACTGGCTGTACAGGTTGTCCAACTTAATGCCATTCTTACAAGAACCAAATTCTCAGTTGCAGTTTAATTTTGATTACCGTACTCAAAATTATTTGTGTGGTCAAATGACCCACATACTGGTATCCCTAATCCTAAAACAAACGCTGAATGTCAAAAGTTTCTGACAACATTTGTAAGTTTTCAAAGTCCAATACAAACCCTTTGATTTCCTTGAACTTCCTTGACAGATCTTGACTCATTTCCAACAACCGAGAAGTTCGTCCCCTCTCTTGTTCCCGGTCATTAACCACCTGGGATGAGCAAACAGTATTGTGTTGAGGACTTTTCTAAACAAATCACCAGCATTTACCAATTCCCCCTCATAACAGACATTAATTAATACACAGAATTTATTGTAAAATCTACAACTCCTTCAATCTGTAATGGAGAAGGCCAAGAAAAAAAAAATTCTAGAGACCAAAAACCATAGTAAAAACAGCAGTGATCTGTCAAAGATGAAAAAATAGTTTATGATCATAAGCAATGCTTTTCCATTATGGACAACCTAGGGATAGGTAACATAATGAAGAATATGGGGAAGGCAGGATAATTCAAATTCATACTGACTCACTGCTGTGGTAAAATTTCAGTAACATATAAGCTGACATACAAATCTGCATTAATATAAAAATTTAAATTATTTTCATGTACTGTACTGTAATTTCAATAATTTCCATTTGGTTGAGGTAATACAGTACAGTACATAACATATTATTACTACTGGACAGCATAATCACTGCTATGAGCTGGAGTATACAGTTAACCCTCACTTTACGCGGTCAATTGAACCCACGGCGGCCCGCGTAAAGTGAACAACATAACATATGGGATTAATTGAAATAGAGACCGGGCCGACCCCCAAACTCCACTTTTTCAGACACAATACCTATGTTGTAGTAAAAATAACTTCTTAATTTTATGATGGTACATATGCACACACAATTAATAATTAAGAGAAATATCAATAATATTCGGTTTTTTAACACTTACATTAGTAGAAAAGATGGCTGGGCACACGGGGATGGGGGGGATGGGGGGGTTGGTTTCGAGGCAGAGGGCAGATTATTGGCCCTCACCTGTATCACTTGTATCAATTGTATCACTATCCACCACAGAGGCTTGCAGGGCCTCTTTGTCAAACCCCTCAAAGTCCATATAAGTCCATATCCTCACTATCACTGACTTTGGCCGGCTGTGGTGGGTGGCGGGTGAAGAACTCGGTAATGTTTTGATGACTGGGCGACCTTGTGCGCACCCTGCTCGCGCCGCTCTCCGCGTAAAAGGGTACACACACAGCGGAAAGTGAGCATTCCGTGTTCGGCAGGGTACCGCGTAAACGCGTAAAGTGGGACCGCGTAAAGCGAGGGTTGACTGTACAGCAATATAATTGTGAATAAAGAGGTATCTGTACAGTATTACCTCTCTAAACAGAACTTTTATATACAGTACTAAAATTTGCTGCTCACATTTCAGTGCAGGTGTAATGTATACCAAAGATCAGTTGATGAATTTTTCGTATTTGTTTTATACCCTGTACCAAAAAATCTCCCTATACCAAACTGGATGCTCACCAATTACTTCAGTAAAGAAGTAATTTGTACTGTACGTATTTGAAACAAGATGAAGAAATATTCTTTAAGTTCTCTGTCCTAATATTGTACCCTGTAGCAGTTTTCCTACATATCAACAGAAGAAAGGACAATGTTGAAAATGAACATCTGTTTTTTTCATCTGGTTTGACACATACAAATTATTGTATTACCGTATCATTTTAATTGAATTTTCTTATTACAAACTAAATTACCATAAAATTAAGCGAGTTAATTACACCAACCACCTTCCATACTGTGTGATGGACAAACATATGGAAAAGTGCGATGGTGCAACGCACCCTTGTTGGTAAAGGTATAATAATTCTGAAATAACACGCAACTCAACCGTGCTAAGGCTGAGATTCAATAACATCAGAATGGAGAAGCTTTGGGAAGGTATTCATAGAGTTGCACACCCCAACACTGTGCTGCTGGTCTGTACACAATTCATTCTCTCTATTGGTAGGGTTACCGCATTTGAACATCAAAAAAGGAGGAAAACTTGAAGATTTTTCCTATGTTCTTGGTGGTGGGGGGGGGGGATCTCCCCTGTTGAATCATTGTTATACTCGTGTATTGTGCACCGGTACATTTATATCAAGTAGGCCTATCAATATTTTAGAAATTTTGTGGCTGAAAACATTAATATATAGTAATTACTCAAATATTTCTGTAGCTTACCTTATGTTTAGTGCAGATTGAGCATAAATTATATTTTCCTTGATGCACCCATGTATATTTCTCTGAAGGTCGCATCATTCTCAGCAGTGGTTGATTGCTCATTAAGAAGGCATGGCAGTCTTTGCAGGAAATTTCTCTTAAGTTGTACTGTACAAGCAGAAGTCCTTTCAGCGACTCAACTGTCAACTTATTTCTCTCCTTTGTCCACTGGCTTTGCATGTGAAAAATCCTCTCTACATTTGCTTTATGAGCAGGTATAGCAAAGAAAAACTGTGCAAGTTTCAACAGCTCTGAATGACAATCAATGTTTTTGGACTTTTCAAAATATTTGGTTCACTTCTGATGTGCTAGCAATAAAGTGAATTCTTCATCACTCTTGTGACTCTGTAAATTTCTTCCGATTGCTAACTTGATCAAAGCATTTCACGTCATCAATTGGTACTCCCTTATCAATCAGATGTTCGATACATGATTCCACATCAGCTCAGTTCGGTGTTTCACTCAGGGTCATCCATTTAAAACAGGAGAAGTCTTCCAGGGGTTTAATCCATTTATCCAAATACTCTAAGCACCTGCTGTAGAATTTGTCACCCTCTTCATCCATTCCTTCCATACGCTTCTGTGTCATAAGTCCCTTCACTTTCAAGGACATGAAGCTTTGAGTCTTTCGTTCAAAGAGGATGGTGTGAATAGTTCAAACTATTCAACACTTCAACAACAGAATTGCTTTCTCTTTCAATGGCTTGGATGTGGCTTTGGAAAACACTCATAAGAGAATGCAAGTGCCATAGGTAAGTCTCATTCAATTTGTGCTCCAAGTAATTCTTTATCACTGTGGGTGGTTTGTCCTGTGACAGAAAGAAAGACTTCAAGGCCAGAAACATCTGTATGAACCTAGCAATGCCTGGAAATAATGACAGCCATCGTGTCTTACTATGAGGTAACAGCTTTCTGTATTCAACTTCTGCAAATTCACAGTATTCCTTCAGTAGTTCGGTACAAGCAGTGTAGATATGAAAGTATCTGGTAGATCTTAAACATAATGTTCTCAATATCAATGTCCATTCTCTCCACTGCATGATGAAAACAATTGTTCAAAATGTGTGCTGGGCAACCCACGCCAATTAATGATCTCTTATGCAACAACTTCTTTAAGTTTGCAAACACATTCTTTCCTTCTTCATCACGCCGAAGTCCACCAACAAACATGGTATTGCAGTTGTCACCCATGAATGCAATACACTTCTCAAACAAACCATTTTTTTTCAAGAGTTTCTTTGACTTAATTTGCAACTGTTTCAGCAGTTTCATTAGGTGTGTTATGAATCCCAATTAGCTTTGACTACAAGCCACCATTATTCCAGTCAAAATACTGAATAATTACAGGGAAATGTTTTCAGGGCAGTATTAACAGAATGTTGGAGCAAGTACAGAATTCACAATTGCTTCTGTCTTGCTTCTAGCACTTGAAAATGTTTTTTTTTTTTTAGTAAGACAGATGAGCAGTCCATTGACTTGAAACTATGGTGATGCTTCACTGTGTGGAATGCATAAATACCCTCCAATGCTGTAACAGCATCCTCTACTTTGCTGCCTGGTTTTACAAAGTAATCTGTTAGTTTTGCCAATGAACACTCTCTTCAAACTGCTTTTTTGTGCTTGTCTGAGTCCACATGAGTTTGCAAGTCAAGAACGCCTTTATTTGTCACAGAGACGTAAGTACCAGGTTTACATACCAAACACTCAGCTTCCCAATCTTCTCCGCCACTTTGAAAACATGGGAATTTACTTTTAAGTTTTGCTGTGAATTTGCACTTTCGTTTTGGCATTGTGCTTGAGGATTAAAAAGTGAGAAATGAAATAAACAGCTTTGGAAGGAATGCCTCTATACACAGTACCGTTTGAAAAGACATCGAATCACTGACTGAACATTTGGCGCGTAATTTTATTACAGAGTTGACAATCTAATGTTGCTAGATTTGATCAGAAAAATTGCGAGAATGTCAATATGATCTACATCCTCCAGAAAATCATTCTAGTTATATTAGAATATCAGTCAAACTTGATAAATATATGACATTTATAGGCTAGTATTTGCTCTGGAAGTGAATATTGCTACATTTGCCACAAAACCTCTTAAATGGTAACGCTGGACATGATCACACCTGTTCAAGACGAAAACTGGACAAAATCCGTAACGAACTAGACAAGTCTCAATAGAAATCCCATGTCTGATGTCAATCACTCTCTTATAAAATATAAATTCTTCTTTAGGAAGATAATAGGGACGAAGTCCAGACATTTTTAGATACAGTAATTGAAAATTCCCCCCAGATGGAGATTTAAGGACCAAAATGGAGGTCATGTCTGGGAAAATCCGGACATATGGTAACCCTATCTATTCATATGGTTGACTCAGCATTGACACTCCACATTTGTGTTGGTTTATTGGCTCTCCCAGAACCATCCAATAAAGCAATTAACAATCTTATTCATCATAGTTTTTAGTCAGAAGGATATGCATAGGAAAAAACCCACAAAGCAGTTAATTCAACAACCAACATAAAAATATAAATGGACCCTTACTTGCATATGGTCCAAGTCCAGCTGATTCATGGCCAGTATAATATTAGTGCTAGTGACAGTCTGGATGTCATAAGCCTGTAAATAGAAACTGAGGTTTAAGTTACAGTACGTGTACCTAGAGTTGTCTTTAGAACACATATGGATATTTGGAGAAGTATAAAAAAGCTTACAATATTGAACTGCTCTTTGGTAAAAATCTGTTATCTGATCCTACTAACAAACTTTGGTGGATTAAACTGTTGAGCAGAGAAGTGAAAATCTATACTGTACACGCTCTCATAGTGAGAGAATGCATAATAACTGAATTTACTGTACTTATGAATGAGTGTGAATGTGTTTCTGCTTGATGAACAGCTCATAGGTCATCACAACACACAATTGTCACTTTCATAAATTACAGGATATAACTTCATTATTCCATACATTGAGATGCAACATAATTCACTTTTATATTTGTATACTGTACCTATTTCATACAAATCTGTACCTATTTTTTTTATATTTATGTATTCACCTGTGCTGTAGCAGCGAGAGCCGACAGTCCCTTCTGGCCTTCATTAGATAACATATTTGTTTTGATTTTCACAGGTTCCATCCACTTACTTAACTGTCTTGCTGCAATATAATAGAAGACAGAAATAAAACTTAAAACAGATTCCTTTAACTTGTTACAAATCATGTAAAGTTCATCAATTTATACAGTATTTGGCAAGGTCCTCTGTACATCTGTAAGTTAAACAAAATAAAGCTTTAATTTTTGTCCGATAGTTCTAGACATTATTAATCACCCCTAAAAATAACTACTGTTGAATTCTACAAGCTTATTTGAAATGGTCAACTTCTGCTCGCACAAGTGAAAATATCAAGATACAGGCATGAATTGATATAAAAAAATTTGAAATTTTATTTTTTGGCCAAAGGGAAGTAATTAAAGACTCACATGATCCATTCCACAAAAACACTCACAAACATATCCTGTTTTTTGCCAGAGGGCCTTGGTATGTACAGGTATACTGTAATGGCAATGTTTATTGCATCCAGCCTTCTCATCCAGTTCAATCAGGGTTGATGATTTGATACCATTTGATTCAGTGGTTGTCTTAATGCCAGTGAGATTTCAGATCAGGAGTCAAACCAACAACAAACTTGCATGATTTGAATCCCTCTGGAGAGATATATATATATATATATATATATATATATATATATATATATATATATATATATATATATATATATATATATATATATATATATATATATATATATATATATATATATATATATATATAGGATCATATGAAGATCTTCCCCCCCAAAGTATCCAACTGAAGATCCTCCCCCCCCCAGTCGCGCTCATATGAAGATCCCTCCCAACATATAATATAAATAAACAACATAAGGATTAAATAATAAAACATTATTCAGATTACTTTCTTGTTACACTAAATATTGGTGTAGGTTAGGTTAGGTTAGGTTAGGTGGTCATAGTGACGTCAGGTCAGGTAAGGTCAGGTTTGGTCATTGGTCAGGTCAGATCCTCCCATCCAGGCTTGATCATATGAAGATCCTCCCCCCCAAGTAGGTTTGGGGGGGAGGATCTTCATATGATCCTATATATATATATATATATATATATACACACACACACACACACACACACACACAGTATTATCCCGCTTTACGGTTTCACTTTCCGCGATTTCTCATTTACGCGGTGCCTCGCCAGAACCGGACTTTCACTTTCCGCGGTGCATCTACCCATATACGCAGAGTGTCTGGCTCGACTCTATTTTTAGATTCGACCCTCCCGCCTGGGCAAGCCGCGCGGTAAGGTTGCGCAGTGCATGTCTCTGTTGCGTTATCAGTGATGTTATATTACGTATCGGACTGTGATTGGGCCATGCATCCTTACCTCCCTCCGCTGCTAGCTGTGATTGGTTTAAAGTAATATGACGTGTCCACCCGCGGGAGGGAGGGAGGAAAGACGACGCTTGACCTAGCCGCGGCAGTTTCATCCCTCCAGGCCACACCGTGTATACGTGACTCCAATGTTCTGTAAAATGGCTTCCGCCGGACCACCGCCCCCAGAGAGAAACCTTTCCTTACCTGGACCCAGCCGCCCTAAGCCAAAGAAGATACGACGTTCCCTAAGCTACGAAGTGAAATACAAGATCATTCAAGATTTGGAGAAAGGAACACGTCAAGCTGATCTCGCGCGCCAGCATGGAGTCAACGAATCTACGATTCATACTATTAAGAAGGATGCAACCAAGATCAAAGAACACATGAGAATCACAAAGTCTGCAGGTGCTTCAATGATCAAGTATTGCCAGAACAAGGTGCTGCTAAAGGTGGAAAATTTGCTGGTGAGTTACTTGATTCGTCAAGCGCGACGCAACATGGCGGTGGACACGCGATCTGTTCAAGAGTACGTCCGTGAACTGCACGCAGCAGTGTCACGTAAGATGGGAATTGCAGAGCCCAAACCCTTCAATGCTTCCTCTGGTTGGCTGCATAGGTTTAAGAAGAGGAACAAGATCACCAACATCAACATTGGTGGTGAAGAAGCGAGTGCTGACCGTGCGACGGCTAGAGATTTTCCTCCGTTCTTATGTGAGGTTATGGAGGAAGGGCAGTACACCGACGACCAGGTGTTCAACATGGACGAATCCGGTCTCTTTTGGAAAAAGCTACCTTCCAAGACCTTCGTTGTCCAGTCTGCCAGCAAGATTCGGGGCCGGAAGTTGCAGAAGGAGCGCATCACCGTCCTCTTTACCACCAATGCCTCCGGTACCTGTAAACCCAAGTTATCGGTGATTCACACAGCCCGCAAGCCGCACGCCTACAAGAACGTGGACATGAGCAAGATTAATGTCCACTGGCTGACCGCACGTAAGGCGTGGATGTTCTCTGCTCTGTCACTCTCCTGGTTTGATGACTGTTTCGTTCCTGACGTGAAGAAATTCTGTGAGCAACAGAATGTTCCATTCAACATTCTGTTGCTCCTTGACAACGCACCAGGACACTCGCCACTACTTATGGATCGTCACCCCAACATAAAAGTGGTCTTCCTTCCTCCCAACACTACGTCATTAATCCAGCCCATGGACCAGGAGTTGATCTGCAATGTGAAAGCTGCATACTCTGCCAAAAAATTTAAGCTCCTGAATGACTGTACCAACACCAAGGACGAGTTGCGTAACCTGGGTGACACCGATAGCGAGAGCAAAAGCGACGAGGACGAGGATAAGGAACAAGAGGTGGTGAATCAAGAAGTTCTCGTTAAACAGTTTTGGAAAAAATTTAACGTCAAACAAGCTGTGGACTTCTTGAGGGAGGCATGGGATCAGCGTCTATAGCTACGATTCACCACGCATGGAGGCATGTGTTGCATGGTATACCAGGTGAGAGGCGGAGTCAACCTGTGACTGGTGAGGTTCAGTCTGTGACAGTGGCATTGGACCTTGCAAGAGAAGCTGCGCACAGTATTACAGCTGAAGGCTTCTCCGAGACCACCAACGATGACATCCTGGAGGTGATCAGAGATCCTGAAATGACTGCCGACGAGATGTTGGAAGATGATCACGTCAGTGAAGAGTAAGATGGTGCGTCAATCCCAGAAGAACACAAGTTAACGCATAGTAATATTAAGGGTGCCATCGAGTGTGCAAAGAAATTGAAGCTCTTCCTTTCCAACGACCATGACGATGACCGCTATGAAGTCTTCCATACCCGGCTGGTGCAGGCTATGGAGCCATACATCAAGGTGTATCAAGACAACATCAACACTAGCCGTCAAAAAAGCTTTACCGAGTTCTTCGCCCGCAACCCACCACAGCCAGCCAGTGATAGTGACAGTGAAGGTGACTTTGAGGGATTTGTCAGGGAGGCCCTGACAACTATGACAGATAGTGATGGTGATTCACCTGAGGGCCAGTAATCTGCCCTCTGCCTCGGAACCAGCCTCCATCCTCGTATGCCGACCCATCTCTTCTACTAACGTAAGTGTTAAACCTAACCTTTAGTTTTCCTAACCTAACCTTTATTTTTCCTAACTTAACCTTTATTTTTCCTAACCTAACCTCTTCTATATTAATTGTGTGTGCATACCATCATAAAGTTAAGATAAAATTTTTACTACAACATAGTTTTGTGTCGTCAAAAAGTGGAGTTTGGGGGTCAGTCCAGTCTCTATTGGAATTAATCCCATATGTTCTGTTGTTCACTTTACACGGTACCCTGTGGGTTCAATTGACCACGTAAATTGGGGTACCACTGTGTGTGTGTGTATATATATATATATATATATATATATATATATATATATATATATATATATATATATATATATATATATATATATATATATATATATATATATATATATATATATATAAAAAATATAAAGAAGAAAACACAAAGTTCCCCGCTTTCTGTACTCACCCTGAAGATGTGAATTACAGGCAGAGACTGTTCTTCTTTCAGCATATAAATCACAGTGATTTACTTGCATATATATATATATATATATATATATATATATATATATATATATATATATATATATATATATTATATATATATACAGTATTACCCCGCCTAATGCGGTTTCACTTAACGCGTTTTATCATATACGCGGTGCCTCGCCAGAGCTGAACTTTCACTTAACACCCAGAGCTGAACTTTCACTTAACACGGAATTTTTCCACATATACGCGGTGAGTGTCCGGCTCGAGACGCTATTTTTAGATTTGCCCCACCCGCCACCCTGCCTGACTGCCTGTTTTAGCTCATAAAATTCATACAAATTACCCGGCCAGAATATAATTTACATTGCTGGAATTCTTATAATTTGGTGATCATTTTGAATATAAACATCGTATATTTTGCATTAGACATACAAATTTTAGATAAAATTTTTTCTCAGAGTAACTATGTTATCTTTTGTGCAAAATATATGACATTTATATTCAAAATATTCCTGGTCTTACAAGGAATTCAGCAATGTCAATTATATTATCCTAACTTTAATCTGAGGTATTATTTAATACTAAATGTTAAAAACCCTGGAAGGGAGGATTGGTGGGGGGTGGGGGGGAGGGTTGGGACTGACCGCGCGGTTGGAAGAGGGGGGGAGGCAAGGTGGGGTACTTTGATTGACAGATAGTGTCGTGAAGATTATTTTTTTTTTTATTAACTGAAGATATTTGTTTTAGCTCATAAAATTCATACAAATTACCCGGTCAGAATATAATTTACATTGCTGGAATTCTTATAATTTGGTGAACATTTTGAATATAAACATCATATATTTTGCATTAAACATACAAATTTTAGATAAAAATTTTTCTCTAGGTAACTATGTTACCTTTTGTGCAAAATATATGACATTTATATTCAAAATATTCCTGGTCTTACAAGGAATCCAGCAATGTCAATTGTATTATCCTAACTTTAGTTTGAGGTATTATTTATTAAAATTTAGTGGTTTTCCCCCAAAAATTTCTCTGAGAGGGAAGAGCCGGCAGTGTAGTGTGAGAGGGGGAGGGAGTTGAGTCCATTATTTGAATGGACATTAACTTGGCGACTGTATTTCTCTATTTCTCTTAAGTATTAATTGTGTGCATGTACCATCATAAAATTAAGATGTTATTTTTACTACAACATAGGTATGTGCCTTCAAAAAGTGGAGTTTGGGGGTCGGGCTGGTTTCTATTGGAATTAATCCCATATGTTCTGTTGTTCACTTAACGCGGATTTCACTTAACGCGGGACCCTCTGGGTTCAATTGACCGCGTTAAGTGGGGTACAACTGTATATATATATATATATATATATATATATATATATATATATATATATATATATATATATATATATATATATATATATATATATATATATATATATATATATATATATATATATATATATATATATATATATATATATATATATATATATATTTTTTTTTTTTTTTTTTTTTAATAGAGCTCTCCTGCCCTGTCAGTTCCCAACGATTTACAAATTTCTCCTCAATCATAAAATGGGATTCGTTAATTTGTTAATTTATGAGCGAGTGCATCAATGAAGATGGTACCATTTAAAAATTCTGACATATTGTCATGGCTGGATAATCATACTTGACTCCAAGTACAGTACACTAACAGGAAAGAGAGACAGTGTATATGTGAGTGAGTGTCAATGTCTATTTACTTCTAAAGCTCACAATTATGATAGCTTTTTATAACTGTACAGCATTCCAATTTAAAAACCAATTCAGTCCCTGCTTAAAAGTTATTCCAGTTCTTAATTATTCAAAATTACCTTCTGCACCATATTCAGATGATTTCTGAGAATAATCATCAGCGAGGAGTTTAGCATTTCCTTCTGAGCATTTACTTGCTGTCATCAGTTGATGAAGAATGTTTATGCTGGTTTCAGCCTTCTCATATGGAGGAATTTGATCTTTTCCATATATTTCCTGGAGCCACTGTACGACCTGCCAAGACCAAATTCCAATTAATGTCATCTGGTTATTTAGAGAAGCGATACAAACTAAATGTTTCTTGTTCATGAGTCAAATTCTAAGAATATTGGTGCTTGTAAATTCTTGCTTAGACAATCTAGTTATCAATCATCTTAAAAATGTTGTAAATTTCACACACACAAATGCAATCCACACCAGTGAAAATGTTGCTACTTGTTGGCTTATCATACATTGCAATACCATTAATTTTTAGCAGGAAAATGTACAGGATATTTACTAATACAGTACTGCACTTACCTCCCTGTGTTTGATGTCCATGTCTTAAGTGATGTGGCTTTCTCCTATGCCTTATCTCCTGCCTGCAAAATTACACCACTTGCAGTTAAGACCATGTATGGCGATAAACACTTCACTACCACGACTGACAAATCACTGCCGGCATAAAGTACCACCATTACCAATACCTATACTGTAGTATATCCATTACTGTACAGGTACCACCCATTTGCAGCAAGAAATTTACCCCAAACATTTTCATCACCATAATTACAACCCTAACACTATAACCATGTAAACTTCCTTTAATATCAACAAGACCATTGCAACAATCAACATTAATCAACCTCAGTATGACCGCCAGTAATTAATATCATCACTCCCTCAACACCTACCACTACCAACCACACCTTCCATCCACAGTACAGCACAGTTTTACTATAACCATTATGACTTTCCTCTACCACCATAATGAGGACTACCCTGTAAAGTACTACAGTACTACTACTCCCTATCACTATCATTGCTACTGCTTCTATCACTACCACTTGGAGATTGGTGTGTGTGTGTGTGTGTGTGTGTGTGTGTACTCTAGAAAAAGCCTAACATCAATATAACTCACATGGTCAGCAGTATTAACTTTCAGAGAGCAGAATATATTGTATCTCACCGAGCCCTTTGTGACAGAAAAAAAAAATTATCCTGCCATCTCTACCCAGTACAGTACAAGTTCCCAAGTTCTTGTAGCTGAACCTCATCATTAGTCATCTCTTCATTCTTTGTACTTCTTAACTAAGTAACTCCTTTCCCTCACACCTTTCCATTCACATACAATTTATAACTCTTTAAATGTAGAACATACATCCACCTTGTACAACAAAGGTAAACATGCATTATCTTTCTTATCCATGGTTCACTACACTTGAAATCCAGAGTTGTAAAACGTACCAAACATTGTTAATTAAGTAAAAGTATTGCTACATTGCCAAATGTTACTCAAGTAGAAGTAAAAGTTTCCAAAGTTCAATGTACTCAAGCAGAAGTAAAAAAAAAGTATCTCATTTATAAAGTACTAAAAGTAAAAATACCAAATTACAGGTATTCTCAAATATTAAAATAAATCCACAGTAAATTATAAAAAAAAATAATTAACTAAAGTTCAACATAAAACACAGCATTACACATGTTTACTTGCAAATCTTTCTATTGAGAGTAATCAATAGCCGATCCTTGAAATTATGACTGTCAAATCAGGATCTTTTAGGCCTAAATATAAGCCCAGCATGACTTACTGAAGGAGAATACATTCACCCGCTCTTCTCTCTGCAATCCATCGCAGGAATGGTGAACAGGCTGAAAATATATACATATAACACTACATTCACTTTCTTCCTTATCCACACAAATAACATCGACGTGGACTTATGGTCCACAGACATAATGTTGTCTGTGCTCACATTAGTTTAGTATACAGACCTATCTGGCAAGTATCTGAGGTGGGGGATGACCTGCACTTCTCTTCCTGTAAACTCTGTAACTGTCAGGGACCTCCTACCACAGGGAGAGTCACCACCTATTTGTTCGTAATAATTTAGATTTAATTCTTGTACGCTACCCACGCTTTGGTGGGTGCTAACTCCCATTGTCCATAAATCATATCAATATTGTCTCCGTATCACAAGTCATAGCGTGTCCTGCGATACACAACTACAAATGAATGTGTCTAACCGCAGGGTCTTGTGACTAGGCTTGTTGTACCCTGCGGTGTAATAAATGAAATAATGAATAATAAGCCCAACATCACTAAACAGTCACGCGCTAGCAGTAGATGCAGGTAGTGGGGTGTTAAGCTTGAGAGAAAAGTCACATAATGCTGGGAAACACCCCAGTAGCTCCATTCCATTGTAGTGGATTCCTCCCCTACAAGCACCGAACCTTCTCGAATTCCCCAGCCTACACCTCCAGCACCACCGACGGAGCGGGGCTCAACTATCTACCCACGCCCACCCCCGCCTCATAAGACCTGACACTGCTGTGACCAGTCTCTTTCTACTCAGTGCCACCAGCAAGCAACACCTCCTCTTCCGCTCCCGCCAGCGACCTTGGCGTCCCTCAAGCCGAGTGTCCCTCCTCTGGGCACCCTCACCACCCAGCTCTCTCTACTCAATGCTTATTACCATGCTACCTACCCAGCAACAAGCTGCATTGTACATCCAATACAATATGTATACAGTAAGCACATTGTGAGTTTCCTTTCTCCATCCCATCCTGAGTGTGAACCAATATCTCATAACCCCACAAATGGTGACCCCCGGAGATTCGCACTCACACAGGATGGATGAGAAACTGATCACTCTCCCAGTCTTCAAGCAACATGGAAGATTGGCTTACCCACGCAGAGGCAGCTCTCATCGGCTCTACAGGTACTGTCTCTACACCGCAGGTTAGACACCCTAAAGCAGCTCTGCTACTCTAAGCAGACAGCTGCTCCTCTTCCTGCCCCAAGCACCACGTCCTACCGACCCCAACACACCCGTCCTGCCTCAGACGCCACCCCCGGCCCAGCAGTACCCCCTGCCGCTCCTACTGACGCGGCCCCTGCTCCTGACGCAGACCCACACACCTCTTTTCTCCCTCAGGTACCCCCTGCTACTGTCCTGCACCCTGCTGCTGTCGTGGACCCTGCCGCTGTCATGCACCCTTTTGCTGTCATGGACCCTCTTCCTGCTGACGCAGCCCCTGCTCCTGACCCAGGCCCACACACCCCAGCAGGCGCATCTGAGGACTCTGTACCTGTCGTGAGGGAAGCACAACATTCGTCGCCTCCACAACCCTCCTCCTCCCTCTTTTCTCCCACAGATCTCGTGTATCTAGACAGAGTTGCCCCCCTCCTAGCGGCCGGCTCATCCACGCCCTCGCCGTTATGTCCCACATGTGGCATGCACCACCCGTTCTGCCTCACATGTGGCATGCAACTCTGCCAACCTCCAGCCGCGCCCGGAGGGGAAGGGGAGTATTGTAGTGGATTCCTCCCCTACAAGCACCGAACCTTCTCGAATTCCCCAGCCTACGCCTCCAGCACCGCCTACGGAGCGGGGGTCAACTATCTACCCACGCCTACCCCCGCCTTATTACCTGACACCGCTGTAACCACTTCCTTCTCTTCTCCTACACCCTCCACTTCTAATTCCCATCATCATCATCATCAACCAGGAGCCTTCTACATACACACCTCAAAGTAAGTGTACTTTACTGCATTTTGTTTTTACTTTGTATGTACTTTTCGGTGAGCTGGAACCAATTACCCAATATCCCATTGAAACAATGGATTCGGTTAACGAACGACCTTCTGGAACGAATTGTGTTCGCTAACCGAGGGACCACTGTATTAAAATGGTGTGCAAAGGTGTAAAAAGATCTAATACACACCACCACAAGACTTTCTTTATTCCAATAAATAAATAACAAGATATATATATATATATATATATATATATATATACATGATACAAAACAGATGCAAATCATATATATAGTATACAAGGCCAATACAGTAAAAGAATTGGACTGGTGAATCCAATGAGGCCATATACAATCACTCATACATTCCCCCAAACAGTTGAAAAGTTAGAACACAGACATGAATTGTAGATAAGGATTACTGTATTGAAAATGATGTCCTCATCTGAAGGTTCCAAGTGTTCCTTGAAGAATGCAGTGATGGGTAGCGAAACACCAGGTAACACTGAAGTCCATTTATTTATGGATAAGAGAATTACAAGTGGTGACTAGCGTGTGCCATGCACGGCTCACACAGTCAGACTGAGACTGCCTTGTCCTATGGCAGCCTCGGGACAATGTTGCCACATAACACGTGCAGTGTTGCCACGTAATTATATACATAGGTGCTACTCGGCACAGTAGCTTATATACAAGGTTGCTACTTGGCACAGTAGCTTAGATACATAACCTACATCTCCCTCCCCCCCTCACGCTCATAGTCTTTGTCTTGAGCGGACTTCTTAGTCCTAAGTCGCTCCGAGCATCGAGGTGCACTGTGGGGCGGATCCTCGTGAGGTGTAGGTGACTCGTCCTCGGTCAGGGGGCCAGCAGCAGGGGGTGGGACTGGCCGGAGGAAGCGGCGGTTCCTCCACCAGACACGGCCGCTCGGCATCCTGACCTTGTAGTCCCGCGACCGGCCGACGCCCATCACTATGCCCACCTTGTCCCAACGTGTCGTCGTCGGGTCCTGGACGCGGACAAGGGCACCAATCTCCAGTGGCTGAAGAGGGCGGGCACGGTCGTCATACCGAGCCTTGGCGTCCTGGGCACGTGAAGCGGCGCGGCGGTCGCAGCTCTCGGCTCTGGTCTGCCACTCCTTCGCAAAGGCCTTGGCGTGTGCAGGAACGCAAGAGCGGAGAGGGTGACCATACAGGATCTGGGCAGGGGAGCGTCCTGTGTGGGTGGGAGTGGACGCGGGTTCTGGGCAGCTCTGTGCAGCAGCGCCAGGCGCGTCGCTCGTTGATTCACGCACCCTGCTGGCGGTGTACCGAGCAGCTGGGATCTGCTCAGGAAAGTCTCTGGGCACCACGCCTAACTCCTTGCAGTGCTCCCACGACAACAAGGGTGTAGCGAGAGTAGGCTGCACGTCGATCCATCCGTGACATGACCTGTCGCCGTAAGTGATCTCCGCTTGAAAGGAGCCCACAGCGTCCGGCATCTGGGAACCGTCCGCATTGTAGTACTGCAGCTGCGGCGGTGGTCCCAGGTCGCGTTTGGTGAGGCCCAGTTTCTGGAGGTGCTTCAGGCCTATCACCGTAGTATCAGCGCCGGTGTCCGGTATCACCTCGATGTGACCCGACACATCACCGTGTGTGACGGCGACGCGGATGGTAGGGGAAGGGGTAGCCCTGGGGCGTGTGGTCGATTCCACCCTCCTGATGTGACTCAGCTGCTGCTTGGGGCTGCGTGGGCCATCTGAAGGGAGCTGCGTGCGAACCACCCCGAGGGAAGTGCGCTGCTTTCCTCCTCGTCTCGGGCTTTTGGGCTTGGGTTGGCGGCAGCACTTGTCGTAGTGTCCATA